ATTTAATATACGTGAATATTATAATAGAAATGAAATCTTAAATTTCTATTTATTCCCTGAAATTGTTACTAAGTTTTAGATTAGATTAGATTAAGAATAATGACATAAACATCATCACTGTTTGACATTTCTTCATCATAAACATCATCACTAGTTTTAAACATTCTTTCTGGTTTCCTCATTATCAGAACTGTGAACATTTCACAGACAAATTCTATAACTAAAATAATTGTCATAATTTATTTACATTTAGTAGAAATTAAATTAGTAAGTTATTTAAAAAGTTTAAGCTTAAATAATAAAATATGAGCCACAGTTCATGCTGCCTAAATCTCCTCACAAAATACTGCATCGTAAAAAAACTCGTTAAAAACGGTTTATAGAATACAACGGCCACCACTTACACCAAATTAAAATACATACTATGTAAAAACTACACTGTATCACCACGTAGATAACGAAAGTGAACATAATAATAATAATAATATTTATTATTTGTATAATTTGTGATTGTTTCTCCCGGTTTTCTTCCCTTGCGTAGCAAGCCCTGTCTCTTGTAAAAACAACCTCGAAAGATTTGTAGATACACATAGTCTCTACACCTTTACCCTCTGGTCCCTAGGGTCAGCTGATCCCGGGCCAGAGGAAAACTACCGACTGCCAAGGTTTGACGCCTAGGCAGTCGAGACCTCTTATTGAGACCCTTTATGATAATAATTTGTGTTTAGTGTTTAGTATTTTGTATATTGTATTTATTGTGGTAAATTGTGGTTCAGATTTCGGTATTAGTAATTATAGGTGTTTGCTGAATTACTGTAATATACACTCTGTTGCCAGCTCTTGTGTGTCCCATCTCTTGCCCTGCAAGCCCTGTTTCTTGTCTATACAACAAATTATAATTGTGTAATAAACATTTATTGTAGCGTAGGATTGTTTGAATTTCTATTTGCTAATTCATATAATATACACTTTATGATTGTTTCGCCCATTTTTCTTCCCTTGCATTGCAAGCCCTGTCTCTTGTAAAAACATCCACTTTTGTAGATACACACAGTCTCTACGTCTTTATCCTCTGGTCCCTAGGGTCAGCTGACTCCGGGCCAGAGGAAAATTACCGATTGCCAAGGTTTGATGCCTAGGCAGTCGAGACCTCTTATTGAGACCCGATATAATAATAATAAATTAATGTTATTTTTATACAGCACCAAAAGGTTAAGCACGGAAGTGGAACAAGAAACTGTTCAGAAAACAGGCGATAAAAACTGTAAAATATAATAATCAATAACGTAACTAAATAAGGCAGATGCACCTAACAAGCAGATATCCAAGAAGGGTTAGCAGGTTTTCTAACAGAGGACTAGAGGAAAGGATAATGACTACAAGAAATCGCAGTATGAAACTCAACAGCCTAACAAATTTAAAAATCAGGTTTATAAAAATATAATTCCCTGATACGGTATATTAAAAATTCTATAAAAACTCAATAAAAATTCCTTAAAAAAATCCATAGAAATTCTATAGACTCCAAATATACAAACAATCTGAAGTTTCCAATATACAATAAAAATTGATTGAAGAAGTTTACTGCAGAACAGTAACTGATGATAAAGATTATATCTGAAAATCCAATACAGTCATACCAAACAATCTGGGCAACATAAAAGTAGAGACAGTAAAAAAGAGAAGAAAAAGATGCTCTAGTACTTGAGACAAAATACAAAGAATAAGGTAGCTTTCTCCCGGGTGCCAACCCAAAAAGTGTTGGTGTCCCAGGATAGAGCCTCCTTTTCCGACCTACACTACAATTTTGTTGGCAGACACAGTGAAACGCAAAAAAAAGATTATTATCTTAAATGTTGCCCAAAAATCCTTGAAAACTAATAGCCTAAAATAATTTAATTTAAAGCGTGAAATTGACCTGCTATAAGATAAACATTTTAATTAAATTTTAACCTTCAATAAAGGATTAGTTACTCAGTACAAATCAAAGGACTTTCTAAACAGGTGAGCTTTAAGTTTTCCCTTAAAGTCCTTGATGTTTACACATTTCGTATATAACATATTAAAGTTCATAAATTCTGATAACAAGTCAGTGTACTTGTAGATAAGGCTCTAGTTCTCATTTTATTGTCTCTGATAAAATAACGCTTGCTATTGTCCTGCTTTATTAGTTCTTTCATCTGTTTGACAAGTCCACTGTGTAGTATTCTCTGCTCCCTTGTCCTATCCGGTGCAAGATAAACTGACTTAAAATCATCATTTGTTTTAAGTTTGTGTGCATTCCTTAGTATAATGTCCACATCGCTAGAGCTTTGTAACTGAACTTTGACTGGTCGCGTTTTCTCAGGAACTTTCTTCCCAATCCTGCATATCTCATCCGTGTCAGGAAAATGACAGCCGGCAAAAACTGACTTGAAAAAGTCCGGGAGAGGGTCCATCTCTAATACGTCCTCCCACTCCCCTTCTTCCGTCTCCTTCAAACCGTAGATAATAAAGTTTCTCGACTCTTTCTTCTTCTTTATTCACTGATTGCACGGCTTCTTTCACAGTTTTTGTTGTCAGCTGATAGTTTTGGACGCTGTTCTTCTTGACGACATCTGCCCAACTTTTCATTTCATTCTTTACAGTTTTCTGCACCGATTCGATCTGATTCTGCTGTCTGTTTATCAGCTGCTTTTGCATGTCTATCTGTTCTGTTTTCATCTCATCTATCTTGCTGGCTGCAGACCTGCATAGCTTCATATTGCTGTCCATTAAATTTACTATGCTGCTGAGGAAATTTACAAGCGGACCCTTAAGCAGTTTTTGTAGAACACCCTGGTTGATATCAGAGAAGGACGAGACATTCACGGCTTTCATGAGCTTTCCAATCTCCGATTGCATATCCTTTTCCACTGTGTGTAGTAAGTCCACAGAGAAATTCATCAGGTTAGCGTGGTGTGTAACACTTGCAGATAACGACTGCTGATAACAAGCTAAAAACGATACAAATGCTAAAAGTGGTTTACTGCGAACTGATCCAGAACTGATGATTCTATTGTTCGTGACTAATCAAGTTCTAAGTGGAGGTATAAAGTGCTGCTTAAGATACTTCGTCATCTCATGTCCAGTATAATGATTAAGATAGTATACAATACAGTTTCAGTAGTTGACCCATACAGTTAAGTCCGTCATAACTCACAATCGTTTAATCATCTGTCAAATGTCAAAGTCGTTGTGTGTTTATTCGCTGAGATAGCAGTAAGATAAGTTGTTATGCGCGCGCGCGTTTAATACCGTCGACGTGAAATGTGACAATGAAAACGCAACAGAATTATTATTTTCGCGCGTTACGTAGAGTTTACTAGTGTGTAATACTGGTTAACACTGGTGTACACTGAGTGTAAGTCGCTAAGTTTCATATACGAGCCGTTGAATATTTCCAATTTTGATTGTATCGTGAGCATGATTAATTGATATATCACACACTACGATTCAATGAAACAATAAGTTTCATAGGAAGGTTTATTGACATATTATTACACACTGCACTAATAAATTAAAATACACCCACAAAAAAATAATAAGAACAAAACAACAGCACTAATCAAATACGGTCATATAAATAATGTTTAAGGCTACCTTTGAAACTGTCTACATCGCGTAGTGAACGTATCTCCCAGGGAGGTGAATTCCATGCAGTTGGTGAGTAGTTGGTGAAACGACGTAGACCAATTCTACTATTTGTAGTTTTAGGAGTCTTTAACCTGTAGCAATTTTTCTTACCTTCTTAACTGAAGTTTATTATAATCGCATAACCCTCTCTGAATTTAACTTAGCTTTAAAAGATTCGAGGTTTTTACCTAATGGCAGAGTGGTAAGCACTGAAAAATATTAAACTCACTGAACTGTCAGTCTTTCTTCGATTTCATAAACTATAGTTAGGCATTCTTTTTTGGTGGGAATTACTTTGAATCACTCTTTCTGTACGCCTATCATATATCGTGAAACAAGGCTCAAGCTGTACAGGCTGTTGGGCCCTTATCATTGCTGCTAGTCATAAATGGGATCAACTTACACTGAAAACTGAACGTAAGAATCATAATACTAACTATATTATATTATACTAGTGGGAAAGTTTACGACTTGTAATTTTATGAAAATTTTACGAAAAAAACGCTTAATCACGTGACTTTTTAAACACGTCCTCTAGGTGGCTCTGAATGACTATTCGAAATCATAAGGCTATAATCTGATCTCAACCCTAACCCTAACCCAATCCCAAACTGAAGCATATATGCTGAAACCCTAACGAGAAATTAGACCAACTTCCTCACATGGTCATATCACGTGATCGAGACAGTTTTTCGACAATAGCGAAAAAGAGGGAGTGGCGTGCCACACCCACTGTAATTAATTGAATTTGACGAAACTTTCAGGAAATCTAAGTTTGACCCATATCTATAATCTCTGAAATTTTTGTGCAATTCTAAGAAGAATTATGTGAGTTATTTTAGGGTTGCGTGTTGTATCACGTTGTGACCCCCACGGTCGTTTCACTATAGTGACAATACAGGGCCGGGGGAGCCGCGCACTTCGTGCGCGGCGGGTCATACAACGTATGACAAGTTGCGTGTGGGCAGTTACTTCTGGGCCACCCTGTATGTTGCAATTAGATAGCAATAATAAATGAATTTAACCATTTGGCAGCTGAAATTTAGATATTTCCAATCAATTTAAAAGAACATGGAGTTGTTTGCTTTTTATTTCAATTGGTTTATAATTGTTTGATAAAGGTTTTGGCTCAGGTCGCGGTTGCATGTGGTCAGAAATTAAATTGCTATTATTTTTCTCGTTAAAAAACTGCAACTGTCAACAGCTTTTTATGATTTTCATGATGTTATCATATTATTTTATTGTAAATAAAGGATACAATTTAACATATTTTATTTCAAAAAAACATGATACTTAATTTGCATAATATTTTGTTCTTTCTAACAATAGCCAATGCTTTAAATCAGGCTGATGGTAATATGAGCAAGTACACAGCATTGAGCAGGGCTCAGCTCAGTTTTGAATATCTGCACACCAACAGGTTTGACAGCTATTCCATTATTGATTATTCATTACTTTCATTGAAATACATATGTAGCATATCTGATCCGTCTTTCTGATTATTAATGAACTTTTTCTAAACTTGCACTCCTGGTAATTGCGTTCCATGACTGGGGATGAGCGTAACATCATTTTCAAAATATAATCATTTGAATTATACACTAGTCAAAATTATACAACCAGTTAAAAAATACTGACTGAATAGTTATAAATAGATGCAATTTTCAGCACAATACAACTCATGAATTCCTCTTTCAGCACAACTCATGAATTCCTGTTTGGGGCCCTAGCAGAGCTTCTCGACAACTCAAGGGATGCTGCAGCCACAAAAGTCAACATTTTCACAGTCCAAAGAGAAGACCTCCGAGGAGGATGCATGCTATGTTTTCTAGATGATGGTGACGGTATGGAACCAGATGAAGTATCATCAGTTATGAGATTTGGGTCGTCTTGTAAGAAATCTGGGGAGTCAAACATGATTGGACAGTATGGTAATGGCCTCAAATCTGGCTCCATGAGGATAGGGAAGGATTTTGTTTTGTTTACAAAAAAAGAAAATACAATGAGTTGTCTGATGCTGTCAAGGACTTTTCACGAAACAGAGAATTTGAACGAGGTTATAGTGCCCATGCCAAGTTGGAACAGACAAACCAGACTCCCACTTCCTGCTCATGATGACGACAGGGAAAAGCATTCCATTGTTAGTTTTTTTTCAGAACATTTCATACATATTTATTGTGTGATTGTTTTCAATTTTCTATAGCATCATTTAAAAATCACAGTTTTACAAGGTGTAGCAATCTGGTTATTTCAGTTTTATTGTCAAAGGTTCGGGTAATTTAATTTCAATTAATTAATTAGATTTTAATCCCCAGGAGCTGGATTTAATACTTAAGTACTCTCCATTCAACACGAAGAAACAGCTGTTTGAACAGTTTGATAAGATTGACAGTGATACAGGGACATTGGTGGTGGTTTACAACCTAAAAACACTAGATGATGGGGAACCTGAAATCGATGTATGCTCTCATATCAAATAATATATTTCACTTTCTCATATCATATAATATATTTCACTTTCCAAAACGAATGTTGTCTGTTCGTATAATTTGTCAAATTTATCTCCAATTTTAGCTTAAGCTGCACCTGCAGACAACCCCGTATTTTTTATTTTAGTTCCTCTTAAACCCAAATCTGATGACCTCATAACAGTTAAAATAACAGGTAAAATGATTTTTCAGATCTACACAGATCCGCAAGATATACTGTTGACACAGATGGACTACGAGAAAGAGTATGAAGATGAACGGGAGCACTTCACCATCCCAGAGAAGAAGTCTTTTCGTGCTTACACGGCAGTTCTTTACCAAGAGCCCAGGATGCGCATCTATGTGCAGAATTCTAAAGTCAGAACTAAACGACTGGAAACTCTAACTCATTTAACAAAGTAAGATTTTCATCTTGAATTATAAATATTACACGTATTATAATACTTTACAAGCCACTATAGGGGATGTGTACTACAAATAGGACTTAGTTCTAAAAGTATAGATTTACTATTACTTACTACTAGTACTACTTTATCTAGCTCGTACTTTCCAATTTCCGTGATCTCTGTTTCATTTTTGTGTCCATTGTTATTATTTTAAAGTTAAATTGATTTTTTCAGACAGATTTTCATTTTCAGACAGTACGAGTATTCCTCAGCTCGGTTCAAAGCTCGATCAGAAAAAGAAACATTTGAAGCAGAAAACCGTTGCAAGCTGGCAGAAGAACGGGCACGAGAAGCTGAATCAGATGCGCGGAGCGTAGAGAGACGTCTAGGAGAGGGGGGGTCTAAGGAGGAGAGGATGGAGATGAGGATAGCTCAGAGACATGCTATAGAGTGTAGGAGGGACTGTGAGGTTCTCAAGAAACTAGCTGAGAGAAAACGAAAGTACGTTGGATAGCCTAGTTGCCATAGTAACTAGTAGTGTAGCCTAGTTGCCATAGTAACTAGTAGTGTAGCCTAGTTGGGTCATTCAGTGCATCTCACACTTTATTCTTATCATGACACAATATTCCTGGTTACTGTCATCAATTTCTTCAATTTCTTCGTCGTCATGGGAAACAGTTTTTATCTTTTCTGAACCATTACGTCAAAATATATAAATTTTAACTGATATTGGCCTCCCCAGATCATTGAAAGAACCAAAGACCCTCAGATTCACATTCGGTCTGAACATCCAAAACAGGAAATGTTTCGGAATGTTTGTTTACAACTGCAGTCGCCTGATAAAGATGTACGAGCGCGTGGGACCTCAGCTAGAGGGAGGCAGTTCGGGTGTGGGGGTCATTGGTGTTGTTAATGTTCCTTATTTAGTACTGGAACCTACGCATAATAAGCAGGACTTTGCTGACGCTAAGGTTTGTTAGTAGGCGCTGTCTTAGGAGTTTTATAATTGGTGCTTTCGTATCATGAGAGCTTTAAATGGGATCACTTCTATTACTTTTGAAAGATTTGCTGTCGACTTAAAATACAGTAGTACCTTGATTTGGGCTAATGTTAATAAAGTTTCGATGTGTTATCAATATATTAAAGACAGACTTGTTACAGGAGTACAGGCATCTGTTGCGAGCCCTAGGAGAGCACCTCCATCACTACTGGCAGGTGTGTGGAGTAGTAGACCCCCGTACAGGATCTGGTGTCAGGAACTTCTGGGCTGAGTTCGGATACTTCACCAATAAGTGGACTGAGGAACCCAGTCAGGAACCGAAATATATGAAGAAACGACTCATGAAGACTAACCAGTGGATGCAATGCGGTGAATAACCAGCTTATATATAGTAGTGAACTACCCTCCCTGCTACTGGAGTAGTAGTGTTGAAAGTATTAACCAGCTCCGTGCTGAAAGGATAAAACTTTCGTTCTTGTTAGCTCTCTTTATATAAATTAACCAAAAAGTAACCGATTAGTAACCGAATTATTTGTCACGTAGATCGGTGTCTAAAGTGGAGAGTACTGCCGTTTTCTCACGCTAATTACAAAGTCAACGAGAGCCTAAGTGACGAATGGACTTGTCATCAAAACCCTGATGTCAACTATAACAAGTAAGCCTCAAATATCCTCTTCATGTTTACAGTTTAGGGGATACGCACTTTAATCAGTGTATAGTGGTGTGTAGTGGTATAATCTCTGTCTTTAGGATCTGTCATAGACTTTGATCTTTTATTATACCTTGATTTGGGTCCAGTAGATTGTGTAGACTTATAAAAGTAATTACTCTCTCAGGTGTATGATAGCAGAACAGCAGATAAAGATTCCCTCAGCCAGTATTGCACAAAAACCTTTCGAGGATAAAACTCCAAAAAAAGCAATAGAGGCACCTCGTGATCGGAAGAAGAGTGGGGAAGAAAGGAGGAAATCTGCTGCTGATGATATCATCGCTAGACGTGTTAGTATTCCACCACAATTATAATAATAATAATAACAATAAATTGAAGTTTAATAACACCGCTATTAAGATAAAACTTACACTCAGCAGTGTTTAAACTACTCATCCCAGAAAATGATATGAATACTAAGTTAAGAAAAGTAACTGCTTGAAAATATATCGTCAATACTAAAGCCAGAAAATGGTACTTAAACATATTATGCAAAGATCAAACACCAGATAAGACAAAAATAGTTATCGATAAAGTTTTTCAATTTCATCTAGGGACAGTTTAAAAAGGTAGGTTATACTATTTAATCGAAAGGATTTCGGATAGAAATATTCTAAGTATAAATTTATCTCTTACCGTACTAACCATCGACTTAGACCCTACCTCATGGTATTTACATTTTCTTATTTTTCAGAGTTCTAAGAGGAGTGTATCCCCTATAGTAATGTCCAGAACCCCGGAGACAGCTAAGAAGAGCTCCTCTAAACTTGTCTCTAAATCCACACCTAAACCCCCAAAAGCAGTCGTATCAGAGAAAAAGTCAGATAATGTGAAGGAGAACAGCTCGAGGATTCCTTCAAAAAGGAACGCAGTGGAACCTCCCGGGTTTGACCGGGTAATTTACTGTCTTCTTGTTGTTCTGTTTTAACTTTGTGTTTGCAGGAATAATTTTACTTTGTTATCTCTGACTTTGCTAGTTGGCCTCTCGTTACTAAAACTCGTCTGTTTCTCCATGGCACAAAGTTAAAGCTTAATCAGTATTATAATAAGTAGTTGAAATCACTGAACAATGTTTCTATCTGGAGTAGGAAGAGTACAAACGATTAAAAGAGAAATACAAAAAGAAGGCTGCTGCTGCGGTTGAAGACGAGGAGGAGAGTGAGGAAGAGGAAGAGAAACCTACAGTAAAGAAGAATGGTATTCTCGGAAGTAAAAGGGTATGAATTATTCAGATCCTTTATTCAAGATGTAGTCTTCAGGTTAACTAAAATCAATTTATCAGTTAGTCTGTGCTTATGGCCCCTACTAAGAAAACTTGCGGTATTCGTTTTTATTGCCGAAATCTTTTGTGAAGAGAGTCTATCATTTCAGAGTATAACCCCTCAAAAAAGTACAGAACTGCCGAACAAGAAACCGAAAGAGAACAAACCCAACAACCACCATGCCGATATCGCTAGTCCAAACAAGAATAACAACATCGAGAAAGGTATGCTATGGAATTTATTCGCATTATATATTAACTAAATTCTGAAATGTCGATTCTTTATTTAACATCGCTTTATACAAGGTTTCTGTAACCTTTATCAGAATTCAGGACGCTCAGAAATGACACAGTTCATATCTAGTTCCCGATGATTATATTACCAGAAATATGCGCATAACTCATAAATATGCGTGCATCTCGCCCTAATTGGAGCATTTAAGTAGATAAAATTAAAATACTACTCAATTTATACAAGAATCCTCAGTTGAAGCTCCCCGAGAGGTGGTGAACCTTAAGAAAATACAAGATAAATTAGCGGAGAGTTTGCGGCTGTGTTTACATTACTTCTCCCCTCCCTCCTGGCCAACTAAAAAGGAGGATCTTATTAACCTGGACCTAGATAAACTCCTAGACTTTCCTTTGGTTAGTTAATTAGTTGAACCATTACAATGCCCAGTTAAATTTACCGAGTTAAATTTACTGGTTTTTATGTTTTACAATTTACACGATAAACTCCAATCTAATCTCTAACATTGGTTTTTATTATTTCCTATTCAACAGAATAAGTTTTTCGACACATACGAAGTGAATCTAACAGAACTGATAGCACAGTATCAGCAACACGCTTCAGACGCAGAGAAAAGGGCCGAGACAACCGAAACTAAACTAGCTAATCTTAGAAAACTTGTCATGCAGCTTCTAAAACCTTCTCTTAATTTCGTGAGTTAAATAAGGTTTAAGTTATGATTGGGTTAAATATCTGAGTCTTTTGCTTTTTAATATACGGAAATTTACTGATTCAAAGATAGCTGAACCAGGAAAAGTATTAAGATTAAATTTGTTATCATTGTACAGGACACAGAAACAGACTGTAATACAGACGAGATAGGAGACAATGTAGACGAGATCCTAGCAGCGGTGGTAAAAGAGAGCACCAAGAGTAGTCAGCCAAGTGATGTCACTTCGTGACGTCACACCCTCTCCCACGTGACGTCATACCAACGTTCACGTGACGTCATACTACCTCTTACAAATGAGACTTGATTGAAGGAGTTAATTTAAAGTGTGTTTCTCAGAGCAGTGTGTTGCTTCGCGGCTTCGTTAAAAGATTAAATAATGGAAAATAAGAATTCTTCTCCAGCTCTCAGATCTAATACACTACACAGCAATTCTCTGAGATGCGTGAAAAATATGAACATTGTTTAATTTGTTTGTTTTCCCGTAAACATAATTGCAAAATTGTTGATTTGCACTTTAAAAAGCATTAATCGTTTTCCATTCAAATCGTGTACTTCGTTCTCATGTTTTTATAACTTCAGTGATCTGAATTGGAAACTACACAATAAGTACACAAGCATTACATATTTTGAGGTTAATATATAGAATAATAGACAATATATTATAGTTCAATGTAGTAAGAGTACGATTACAATATATTATAGTTCAATGTAGTAAGAGTACGATTAGAGCACCATGTTTACAGAACTTACCAATATCTGGTTTTTTGTTTTTTTATTAATTTGTGTGACATAGCTTAAATTAAAAACTAGCATTACTTATATTCTAATGATAATAATGAAGCAGTCTTCAATCTTCATCCACCGTATATAGTAAGAAGTACAGTTTGCATATAAAACACTTTTCGCTATTTGAAGTTTATTTCTTTCACAGAATAAGAAAATTGAATGTTGAACGTTGGTAATCTAGCTATATAAGTTATGACGCAGCGCCGAGCATTGCGCGCACAATAAAATAATTAACTTATTAACGAGGTGTAAGCTTGCACAAGAATATTATTTCCACCAGGAGAAGCTCATTATGATACACCCGAGAAAATTTGGTTTTCGATGGAAGTTTAGAATTTGTTTAGATGTCACACGTAGGATCTAACATTTTACTCTTGCTTTATGTTGTCATTAATTATTTTAATTTTACTGCTATTTTGAAGACATCTATTCTTGAGTATTTCCTTACGTAGCCAACGTACGCGTTATATGGGGGGGGGGGGGGGGGGCATGATACCCCCGTTTTATATTACCAGCTAGAACTTAATACTTATGCATGTGGTATTTTGCGATTCAGAATACGATTCAAAAATTTATAAAAATTAGATTAGATTTGATTACGCATGAAATTGAACCAATTATGCATTATATATCTCAAACTTACACTATAAATACTATTAGGTTGTAAAAAACAAGAAGACAAAGAAAATGCCTCCCAGAAGGAAAAAGAAAAGGCCCGCAAAGGTCATAGACCTCGAAACAGTGAATGAAACTGAAAACTCAAGTGAAACATCTCCTATTGAGACTATACCACCAGTTGAAGACAGTGAAACTGTAAAACCCACTACAAAGAAGAAAAAAGGGAAGAAAAACAAGAAAACCGCTGTATCGCCCGATGATTCAGTAGTAGAACCAGTATGTCCCCCTGAAAGTGAAGAAGAAGCTAAATCAGCACCTCAAAAAAGCTCTGTCAGAAAGCGACCTACTGCAGCAGACCTTATAATATCAGAAGACCCCTCACCAGTTCCTGAAGTAAGCTCTGTCTCAGAAACCCTAGATATGAGCAGCGAGTCTTCTTCTAAAGTCTCAAGACGGGCTGCAGCGGTCGATTTTATGGACGAATCGACCCTGGTCCCTGCCAAAACGAGAAAATCCCCGAATACCAAGGCTGCGCTTCCAAAAGAGGAGGTGGTTAAAGCACATTCCTCTGAAACCGTGTCTCCAAACGAGAATGAGGAGATGACTGCGGAGGAGGAGGGGGATGGTATTGGAGGTGGCCTCGAGTTTCTAGGTTATCCTAACTTTGATGCTTACTCCAACTCTCTTCTGCCTGCAGGTTTGGAGAATTGTTTGTGGAGAATCGATAAATTTATTTTTGGTCTGTTATTTGATTCTTATTCTTATCCTAATTGTGAAAAAATATTAAAGTATTATTCAGTGCCATTTCTTGAAAAAAATATATAAGTCACATATTGATTTCCTGGATAGTGGTTCAGTTCCTGAAGGTAACGAAACAGTTACCCAGCACAAAAGATGAGTACGATTTCTTCCTTTCTTACCCTTCCTTCATGGCGTTCAGTAAAAATCAGGGTCAAAGAGTCCTTCAACTCATTGGCAAGGTAATATATATTCAAATATTAACCTGTTTTTTATTGATACTGAGATACTGTGTGATCTTCCGCTATCAATATGATGCTGCTATCAATCATATGGATTTTCATAAAGTCTCTATCCAGTAATGTTCTATGCCAATAATTAATCATAACTCCTCCCCGCTATGCTAATTAAGCACTAATTAAGAACTTTATGTATTATGCTGATTTAATAGGACCCTCTCCAGATATTCAAACACCACCACGTGTATACTGATTTAGTCCTCCCCAGATATTCAAACACCACCATGTGTATCAAGCCTGGAACACACTCCCCTCCAACACAGTCACCGGTATAGAGGAACAGAGTGAGGCTGTTGTAGAGGCTAACGACACTCTGCTGGAGAGAGTTGATAAGATACTCGACATGTTGAAACAGAACAAGAACGAGAATAAACTCGAAGTGCAGCAGAAATCTTCTAAAAACGTGCGCGAGTGTTAAACGTTATTTCATCTGATTATCCGTGATTGAGAAAGTTTTGTCATATTTAATTTCCGAAATCTAATAAATTAGGTCTTGTCACTAGTTGAAATAGTTTTGATGATGATGAAATGTCAGGTGCTGGTAGCCGCATGGAACGCTAACAGTAACACCCAGCAAAACAAACCTATTCGTCTGCTCCACAGTAAGAACATCCTCAGACCGCAGTTGAGGTGGAAAGTGAAACCTGACAACACCAGTGTTCCCTTCGTCCCTAACATAAAACACAAACCTAACGCTAAGGTAACATGGTTATTGCTCTAGAAATATAAAGGTTATGTTACTTGTGTTCTAGAAATATAAAGGTTATGTTACTTGTGTTCTAGAAATATAAAGGTTATGTTACTTGTGTTCTAGAAATATAAAGGTTATGTTACTTGTGTTCTAGAAATATAAAGGTTATGTTACTTGTGTTCTAGAAATATAAAGGTTATGTTACTTGTGTTCTAGAAATATAAAGGTTATGTTACTTGTGTTCTAGAAATATAAAGGTTATGCTACTTGTGTTCTAGAAATATAAAGGTTATGTTACTTGTGTTCTAGAAATATAAAGGTTATGTTACTTGTGTTCTAGAAATATAAAGGTTATGTTACTTGTGTTCTAGAAATATAAAGGTTATGTTACTTGTGTTCTAGAAATATAAAGGTTATGTTACTTGTGTTCTAGAAATATAAAGGTTTTGCTACTTGTGTTCTAGAAATATAAAGGTTATGTTACTTGTGTTCTAGAAATATAAAGGTTATGTTACTTGTGTTCTAGAAATATAAAGGTTTTGCTACTTGTGTTCTAGAAATATAAAGGTTATGTTACTTGTGTTCTAGAAATATAAAGGTTATGCTACTTGTGTTCTAGAAATATAAAGGTTTTGCTACTTGTGTTCTAGAAATATAAAGGTTATGTTACTTGTGTTCTAGAAATATAAAGGTTATGTTACTTGTGTTCTAGAAATATAAAGGTTATGTTACTTGTGTTCTAGAAATATAAAGGTTTTGCTACTTGTGTTCTAGAAATATAAAGGTTATGTTACTTGTGTTCTAGAAATATAAAGGTTATGTTACTTGTGTTCTAGAAATATAAAGGTTTTGCTACTTGTGTTCTAGAAATATAAAGGTTATGTTACTTATGTTCTAGAAATATAAAGGTTATGCTACTTGTGTTCTAGAAATATAAAGGTTTTGCTACTTGTGTTCTAGAAATATAAAGGTTATGTTACTTGTGTTCTAGAAATATAAAGGTTATGTTACTTGTGTTCTAGAAATATAAAGGTTATGTTACTTGTGTTCTAGAAATATAAAGGTTATGTTACTTGTGTTCTCAAGAGCTCTTGAACCTGCAATTGCAATATACACCTATCAAATATTTTCTAATGCTTCTTAGATGAAAAATGATAAATTATTTTTCCAGATTTTCAATTTCTACCCACAGGTGCCCCTACCAGAGATTTACAAATCACTGCTAAATGATGGACAGGATATAAATCTAACAGTTTTCTTGAAATCAGCAAGAGGAGATCAGAATGTCGACTATCCTCATCCCTATCAGGTTTATATTTATCACGTTATTTCCGTCTTAGGATGTTCGTCATATTTTCGTAGCAGCATTATTGAATCAATTAAGGTGTAAACTGTAAAGATACTTAGTACATGAACAAATCAAAAACTATGTTAACTCATATCTCAACTTCTCAGCATGAGTTAGAAACTTTGGATCTACGACCATGGCAGCACGAACTAGGACTAAAACAGGAGCCCAAGGAGGTAAAGGACACCCCCCTCACCATCATAGATCAACCTGATCAAATACCAGACCTCGTCAGGAAACTGGAGCAAGCTAAAGAGATAGCAGTGGATCTGGAGGCCCATAGTTACAGATCCTATCTAGGATTTACTTGTCTCATGCAGGTTTGTCTCATGAACCTGAACTTTTATTTCAGTTTCCTTCTCGTGATATAAACCTAAATTACTGAAAAATTTCACTGGTTCAAGATAGTGTGTCGAATACACCCAAAACTCGGCTTATCTCTGTTCATATCTTATCTTGTACCCTCCAACAGTCTCTGTTCATATCTTATCTTGTACCCTCCAACAGTCTCTGTTCATATCTTATCTTGTACCCTCCAACAGTCTCTGTTCATATCTTATCTTGTACCCTCCAACAGTCTCTGTTCATATCTTATCTTGTACCCTCCAACAGTCTCTGTTCATATCTTATCTTGTACCCTCCAACAGTCTCTGTTCATATCTTATCTTGTACCCTCCAACAGTCTCTGTTCATATCTTATCTTGTACCCTCCAACAGTCTCTGTTCATATCTTGTCTTGTACCCTCCAACAGTCTCTGTTCATATCTTGTCTTGTACCCTCCAACAGTCTCTGTTCATATCTTATCTTGTACCCTCCAACAGTCTCTGTTCATATCTTATCTTGTACCCTCCAACAGTCTCTGTTCATATCTTATCTTGTACCCTCCAACAGTCTCTGTTCATATCTTATCTTGTACCCTCCAACAGTCTCTGTTCATATCTTATCTTGTACCCTCCAACAGTCTCTGTTCATATCTTATCTTGTACCCTCCAACAGTCTCTGTTCATATCTTATCTTGTACCCTCCAACAGTCTCTGTTCATATCTTATCTTGTACCCTCCAACAGTCTCTGTTCATATCTTATCTTGTACCCTCCAACAGTCTCTGTTCATATCTTATCTTGTACCCTCCAACAGTCTCTGTTCATATCTTATCTTGTACCCTCCAACAGTCTCTGTTCATATCTTATCTTGTACCCTCCAACAGTCTCTGTTCATATCTTATCTTGTACCCTCCAACAGTCTCTGTTCATATCTTATCTTGTACCCTCCAACAGTCTCTGTTCATATCTTATCTTGTACCCTCCAACAGTCTCTGTTCATATCTTATCTTGTACCCTCCAACAGTCTCTGTTCATATCTTATCTTGTACCCTCCAACAGTCTCTGTTCATATCTTATCTTGTACCCTCCAACAGTCTCTGTTCATATCTTATCTTGTACCCTCCAACAGTCTCTGTTCATATCTTATCTTGTACCCTCCAACAGTCTCTGTTCATATCTTATCTTGTACCCTCCAACAGTCTCTGTTCATATCTTATCTTGTACCCTCCAACAGTCTCTGTTCATATCTTATCTTGTACCCTCCAACGCTTCAACTGAGAAGTACTAACACTAAAACCTGCCCAGTTATCAACAAGAACAGAGGACTTCATAGTGGACACGTTATCACTGAGAACTGAGTTGTTACCATTAAATACTGTGTTTACAAATCCCGCCATACTCAAGGTATTTAATATACTGTGCCGAGTCACCTTTTACTTTGCAGCAAAAATAGAAGCAAATTCTTGAGATATAAAGCGTTTTAATAGGTTTATAGAGAAGTTCCAAGTGTTTCACTGTAAAATTGCAGGTACTACACGGTGGTATAAATGATATCAGGTGGTTGCAACGGGACCTGGGACTTTACATTGTGAACATGTTCGACACCTACCATGCGTCCAAACAGCTGGGTCTGCCGAGATGTAGCTTATCTTATCTACTACACAAATACTGTGACGTTACTGCAGATAAACAATACCAGGTTTGTGCCAGGTATCTTTTTTTTACAGCGTAGTTTTTTTACAGCGCATTTGCGTGTGTACTTGTACATTACTATACAAGTACACCATGGAGGATGATCTTAATTTGACCCGATCTCTGAAGAAAATCAAGGATTTCAATTATGAAGAAAAGGAAGATGTAGAGGGCTGTGTTGATAGATGGTTCACTACGACGGCAAAATAACTGAAAATAGACGACGTCGACATTCGTGAAAATATGGACAAAGAAATATTAATAGCTCCGTCTATTTATAAAAGGTATATGGCATACTGGGTTACTCAAGCAGCAGACCTTGTACGGCGGCAGAGTAGGCAGATAAGCACTGTGATGGAAATCATTGAGTGCCTCAAGACGGAAGCGCGCGCTAGCAGACAAGGAAAAGGTGATCAGGCTGCAGGACCAGCTGCTGGTGCAGAAGGACGAACAACTACAGTTGTTTAAGACGTCGGTTGAAGAGACAGTACAAACAACGGTGGAGTCAGGGATTAAGAGCTACAGTGCAGCAGTACAAAAGGACAGCAAAAGTGGTACAATCTGCAACAGTAAAATTCTGAAGAATGTGATGAAGAGTGTGGCTGCAGAGGAGGACAGGAGCGAGAATCTGATTGTGTTTGGGCTGAAAGAAGAGGATGAAGAACAGCTTCCAGCTCTGGTAACCGCAGTATTGGAGGATATCGGGGAGAAACCTCATTTCGAAGCGAAAAGAGTCGGCTGGAAGAGGCCAGGTACGGCTATCAGACCAGTCAAGATCACCGTCCCAAGCTCAACAGCGGTTCATCAGATTCTGATAAAAACATGAAGACTGAGGCTGGCTGAGGCACACAAAGATGTATGGATTTGTCCTGATAGATCCAGTGAAGAGCGTGCAGCAAGGAAGAACGTGGTAACTGACCTGAAGAAGAAGAGGGCTGAACAGACTCATCTCGACCACTACATCCGTAACGGGAAGGTCTGTAGCCGTGTTAAGAAGACACCATGAAATAATTCATGTCTCTCGGTTACCGATCAGTTTTCGGACGTTATCTGTATTTGAGAGACAATTATATTATATACATACACTATTATTTGATTGTTTCACACTTTTCACATTTCATCATTATATTACTATCCCAGTTAGCTGATTGGCGAATAAGACCGTTACCCGACGTAATGATAAAGTACGCTAGAGAGGACACCCACTACCTTCTATATGTGTACGACTGCTTGAGATACGAACTTCTCAATCAAGGTTTGCTTATATCTTTACTAATATCATCTCTCTCCGAACTATTAATTGTTATAATCGATTCATTAGGTTTTGTCTTAATAGTGGTGTTATTAAACTTCAATTTATCATTATTATTATCAATTAAACTGTTAATTGCTCACTTGGATTTACCTTGGTAATACCCTAAAATGATCCTCCTTCAGGAATGCACACACTAGAAAGTGTATACCGGAACAGTACTCTGGATTGTCAGCACACATTCCGAAAGCCTGTGTTTACTCAGGAATCCTACATGGAAGTTTATCACAAAATACGAATCGCTCTCAAGCCACAGCAAAAAGAGTGTTTGAAGTAAGAATAAGATGTTCTATGTATTCAAGATAACGCTTTTAATGTTTATTATTATCTTTCTTGGCGTACAGAAAGAAACCGTTAGTTGAAAGCTTCTGGAACTTTCTAAATGTTCAACGAAGCTTCCAGAACAATGACATGACATGTACAATAATTGTATGTTTCGTCTACCTTACTAATTACTTCAAAATGTACCTCTTACCTACCTCCGTTCCTTAGCAGTTGTTCTACAGTCATCTTTAGTGTGCTGATTTTCCAATTAAGCGCCCAATCAAACAGTTAATTGTGTTCTTAATTGGGTGTTGTGTGAAGATTTGAGAAAGTTGGCCGATTTGTTCGATTATCTTCTAACGGTTGTACTACAGGTTGATATACGCGTGGAGGGACCATACAGCTAGGAGTGAAGATGAAAGTACAGCATTTGTACTGCCAAACCACATGATGTTCAAAATAGCTGAACTACTACCGGGAGATCAGGAGGGTGAGTGTGCTCCAGCGCCTCCCCCCTCTAGCGCCCTGCTAGTGGGCAGTGGCAGGGAGGGGGGTACCCCCTCTAGCGCCCTGCTAGTGGGCAGTGGCAGGGAGGGGTTGAGTGTACTCTAGCTCCCTGCTAGTGGGCAGTGGCAGGGAGGGGTTGAGTGTGCTCTAGCTCCCTGCTAGTGGGCAGTAGCAGGGAGGGGTTGAGTGTGCTCCAGTGCCCTGCTAGTGGGCAGTGGCAGGGAGGGGTTGAGTGTACTCTAACGCCCTGTTAGTGGGCAGTGGAAGGGAGGGGTTGAGTGTGCTCTAGCGCCCTGCTAGTGGGCAGTGGCAGGGAGGGGTTGAGTGTACTCTAGCGCCCTGCTAGTGGGCAGTGGCAGGGAGGGGTTGAGTGTACTCTAGCGCCCTGCTAGTGGGCAGTGGCAGGGAGGGGTTGAGTGTGCTCTAGCGCCCTGCTAGTGGGCAGTGGCAGGGAGGGGTTGAGTGTGCTCTAGCGCCCTGCTAGTGGGCAGTGGCAGGGAAGGGTTGAGTGTGCTCTAGCGCCCTGCTAGTGGGCAGTGGCAGGGAAGGATTGAGTGTACTCTAGCTCCCTGCTAGTGGGCAGTGGTAGGGAGGGGTTGAGTGTGCTCTAGCGCCCTGCTAGTGGGCAGTAGCAGGGAGGGGTTGAGTGTACTCTAGCGCCCTGCTAGTGGCAGTGGCAGGGAAGGGTTGAGTGTGCTCTAGCGCCCTGCTAGTGGGCAGTGGCAGGGAAGGGTTGAGTGTACTCTAGCTCCCTGCTAGTGGGCAGTGGCAGGGAGGGGTTGAGTGTACTCTAGCGCCCTGCTAGTGGGCAGTGGCAGGGAGGGGTTGAGTGTACTCTAGCGCCCAGTTAGTGGGCAGTGGCAGGGAGGGGTTGAGTGTGCTCTAGCTCCCTGCTAGTATAGTGGCAGGGAGGGGTTGAGTGTGCTCTAGCTCCCTGCTAGTGGGCAGTGGCAGGGAGGGGTTGAGTGTACTCTAGCTCCCTGCTAGTGGGCAGTGGCAGGGAGGGGTTGAGTGTGCTCTAGCGCCCTGCTAGTGGCAGTGGCAGGGAGGGGTTGAGTGTGCTCTAGCTCCTTGCTAGTGGGCAGTGGCAGGGAGGGGTTGAGTGTGCTCTAGCTCCCTGCTAGTGGGCAGTGGCAGGGAGGGGTTGAGTGTACTCTAGCGCCCTGCTAGTGGGCAGTGGCAGGGAGGGGTTGAGTGTGCTCTAGCGCCCTGCTAGTGGGCAGTGGCAGGGAGGGGTTGAGTGTGCTCTAGCTCCCTGCTAGTGGGCAGTGGCAGGGAGGGGTTGAGTGTACTCTAGCTCCCTGCTAGTGGGCAGTGGCAGGGAGGGGTTGAGTGTGCTCTAGCGCCCTGCTACTAGTGTAGTGGGGGTTATTTGTCACTAATTTCGTCTTATTTGTGGTTAATTGCGAGTTTTATGTAAACATTTTACTCCACTGTTCGATATTATTCAAATTAAAGGAAAGTTGTATTTGAGTGTAACTTAAATTGCCAGTCAAATTAAAACTATCATATGATTTATCAGTTCACTGTCCTAGGTATCCTAGGTTGCTGTAACCCACCCCCGCCTCTGGTGCGCCTGCACGTGCAAGAGTTACATCTAATCGTGGAGAAAGCGCGCCACTACAACCCCCTCCTTGATCCAGCTAATAATATCAGTGTTAACGAAGCGGAGTACACTCCTGGTTTGTTTAAGAGAAAATAATTTGAAATTTGTCTCTATCTAATCGGCCCTATTTAATCTATTGTTGATTTTCTCTGTTAAAGATATTGTGAGTAATTATTGTAGTCCCATTACCTTAGTATTGCTGTACAACTACTACAAATAATTGTTGTTGCTGGATTTAAAAAAACGATTAATCCTTCAGGTTTTCTTGATATGACCCATCAGTCATCAGTAGAAAGCATTTTCACGTAATACTACTTCAGGTTTTCTTGATATGACCCATCAGTCATCAGTAGAAAGCATTTTCACGCCCAAGCAAACTCCAGCTCGCCGTATCAAAGAACGCAAGGAAATATTTTACATTCCCAAATCTGGACCCGATATAAAAATCAAGAACAAGTCTGCAATCGAGGAAGATTGTGCATCAATAATATCAGAAACGGGAACTATCTCCGAATCAGTGTCTTCTCTCCAGTTCTTTGACACAGACGCCATTAAAAATGAAATTACGGACGCTGTAAGGTCAGTAACCGACTCAATGTCAGCACCCTTCAGAATGTTCATGACGAAGATTGCTCAATTAAGAGACGAAGAGAAGAAAAAGGAAGATGAAACGCCCGAGCCAGTCAACCCAATCCAAGACATCGTTCCTCCAGAAAATAAAGAAGAAACAAATGAGGAGGATTCTTCTGTTATAATCTTCAAACAACCTAATAAACGCACCTCAGAGGAAGCAGGAGACCTGAGAGCCACAACCAAACGCAGGAAGAAGACGGTGGGTGAGTTAAAACCGTTTAGTTACGAGGAAGTCACCATGACAAGTCTAGCTGCGGAAGAAGAAGTGAAGCCCCTGGAGCAGGGTGATATGTTAAATAAGGGAGACGATAGTCGGGCAACTTCTATCAGGCAGAGGACTAATATAAAGTCCGGTAATAAGTCCAGTTTTCAGAAGTTTTTGAAGAAAAAGTTTAAGAAGTGATCCGATTTTTTTCTTTTTAATTTTAGGGTAATTTATTCAGTTTTTATTGAGTGGTTGTAAACTGTTTTATCTTTTTTAAGTATTATAGCGACAAGATTTGTTATTCATTTTAACAGACATTCTTAAATGATTATCTTTCTGCTGTTCGCTTGTTCTCACTTTGTATGTCTGAATGGTGGTGTTTGTTTCACAATTACTTAAACTCTGGGTTCGAATCAAGGATTGTGGGACATAGTTGTGGGATATGCTAGGCTACTAGCGAAATTTGTACATCCTTGAGTCAAAAGCAAACTATCCTGTCATTGTTATGATTTTTGGCGCCGCGCGCAGCACGTATCCACGTTTGACCCAATCTTTTTCTTCAGTAGTGATGGCTAATATTGTCAGAAGAGCTACCTGCCAGTTTTTCAATGTCGGGAGTAGAAACTTCAGTGTCTCAGCACCAAGACATGCCAAAGTCTCAGTTCTCGGAGCTGCTGGCGGCATTGGCCAACCCCTCTCTCTTCTCCTCAAACAGGTACTTTTAGTTTCAGTTACAAGTTCAGAAATGCTTTTGAAGAGATGCGTTTGTTTGCCGGTAAGGGTAGGTCTGAGCGTATACTAAAAAACATATGAGCCAGCCCATTATGCTCGGAATTTGTTTTATGTTGCCGGTATACCTCTTATCACAGAAAAGAAAGCCTTTTTCGGCCTGCGCCCATATACAACATGTATCAATTACCGGTAGTAACCAAGAAGCCTGAGCACTAATAGTAGATTTTAAATTTGTCTACCCTAATATTGGTCAGGTTTTTGGATACTGCCCGATTTTAGTACAATAAAACACCTTATATTTACCGGTTATGTAATTGAACGAGGGGGGGGGGGGGGGGGGGTCACTATAGTCACTATACTCGCGCCAGCATCCCCAACTAATTCGAAGGACTTATGACTAATCGGTTCCGAATCAAAAGTTCAAAATTCAACTGTTTTATTTACCAATATGGATATGTTCATAAAGAATTCGTTTTAACTTGTTTGCATGAAAAGTATTAATAGAATGAAATAGTCTGTGTTTAACATATTATTACGTGCATAACAACAATATCAAATTAGTTTGTAAAAATAGGCATAGGCTGCTATATTCCCTGAATTAATCAACTATATTAAAACTATAATAAGAACCGTTGAGGTGAAATTGTTTGACTTCTAGATTGCTTGATGTGACAAAATTAAGATTTATTGCCTCTATTTTGAAAAACCATACCTCGATTAGAACATAACTTTACTTTATGATCACTAGCAGGAACCCGTCTAACCCTTAAATGGTGTCAAGACTCAAGAGACTAAAACAATTATTACCTATTTAATTCGCGTTTTTGACACCACTTGGGGTACCAAATTTTGGGCTCTAAAACTCCTATTTCTTGGCCAATTTTTTATTTTTTCATTCTGATTTGGAGGCCATTAAAGCATTTGACCCAGTCAAAAAAGTTTCAGTTGTATATCTTTGACGGTTTTTGCAGAAATTCGCGTTAAAGTTGATGCTGTGGTGTCAGTAAAATGGCAATATATATATATTTTTTACAAAAATCCGTTAAATATGCAGATAAATTTAGACTTATGGAACTATCCTATTTATTGCACGGCAACAAGAGGCCCATATTGGGGGGGGGGGGGGGGGTCGCTACACTTGACCCCCCCCCTTAAGGTTTTAAAAAAAATCATTGATAGATTTACAGATCTAGCTTGACAAAAATTTTCAGAAAAAATCATGTTCACGGGAAGCGAAAATCCGTTCAGTTTTTCAGGGGGGGGGGGGGGGGGGGGGGGGGGGGGGGGGGGGTCGTGTGTGTTTGTTTTAAAAAGTTGTTTTTATTATTTTAAAGTTTTTATTGTACTACAACTTCTGTACATCTTGTAGTTGTACACTTTCATAACTTATTAAATAATCGAAATTTGATGATTGATTGAAATACAATGTTTTAATTATAATTTCGATTATTTGGAATCGAAAAAATTAATCTATAAATGAATAACGGAATCTTCATTATGAAGTTACGAGATGATAATATAATTGGGGGGCAAAGTGGGGATCACAAAATTACCGGAAGTGTATGAGGCTGGCCGCTGTCGAGTGGGTCTGCCTAAAATTCACAGATCTAGCTATGGGTCTGAGACATATGTTTAAAAGAACCTTACCCCCACTTGACCCCCCCCCCCCCCCCGGCCCCCAGGCCACATTAGCTTAGTCACATATTTATCTCATGTTTAATATTGTACTAATATCCTCAAGTTCAAATGTTTTTACACATATGCTGATATGCTTATAGAATCGAGAATGTTCTGCTTTTAAAATCTAGAATGTTCTGTCTCGAATGAATGTTAGTTTGCTTAGATGTAAGGCTTGATCGATAAAATGTATATTAGGATAAAATAACAAGTCGGGAAGTATTAGTCTAAATTAAAGCCGTGTGGATGTTTTATACTTAAGTTAGCTTTACTTATATCTGGATACTGTTGGGGAGCTTAAGTGTTTTGTTTTATGACTAATCTGTTTCCACTATTGAACAATGAAAATCTACAGAATCACTGTTCAAAACAAATGTATATATTAGCCTCATCTTTCTTTTCAATGGAATTCACTAAACTTAATATAATTTCTGAGTTTTAATCCTCGCAGTAACTAAACCTCACCCCAGTCGACGCTGATCTCAGAGTTAGCACTGTACGACGTGGCTAATACTGTGGGCGTGGCGTGTGATTTGTCTCACATTGAATCTGCAGCTCAGGTCAAGGGATACGTTGGGGATTCTCAACTTGAAGAGTGCCTTCAGGGTTAGTGTTATCACTTACTTAACACTTCAGGGTTAGTGTTATCACTTACTTAACACTTCAGGGTTAGTGTTATCACTTACTTAACACTTCAGGGTTAGTGTTATCACTTACCTACTTAACACTTAACCAGCGAATTGTAAATATGGTAGAAGATTTTTAAATGGAGTGGAACTCATAGCCATTTAGCCATTTAGTCACAAAAGTTCGGTCTCTCACCATAATGTACCCATTATCATCGCCATGAACAAATTTGTTGTTCCCAAAGTGAGATTTTTCTCTACCCACTGACTTTGACTTAACAAAAACTCATTTCAGGCAGTAAGATTGTGGTAATGCCCGCTGGTGTACCCAGAAAACCCGGCATGACACGTGACGATTTGTTCAACATCAACGCCGGAATTGCTATGTCTCTCGCAGAGGCTGCCTCCAAAGCTTGTCCTGATGCCATGCTCTGCATCATCTCCAACCCGGTCAACTCTACTGTACCTATCGCTGCAGAGGTCAGTACTATATATATATTATATATAGAGGTCAGTTCTATCGCTCTCCCTACTACTAATGAGTCCGGTTTTTACCGTAAACTTGAAATTTAAAACATAATTATGGAGGAATGCGGTTAGTTTTCGGAGTATATGCAGGCGAAAGGTCCGTGGGTATTGGTAACTATAGTTTCCTGACAAATTAATCTATTTAAAGACCTTACCTCACCTCTTAGGAGTCGTTCACATATTACGTAATCAGCCGAGGGGGGAGGGGGGGGTTTCCAAATGCTTACGGTTGATTACGGGGGGGGGGGGGGGGGGTTTCGGTTGTTGATTACGTAATCAAAATTTTGTTTTTTACCCTCTAGAATAATAACAATTTGACAATATTTTAATTCAAATTCCACTCAATTTCACTCTGATAGTGATAAAATTTAGAAATTGATCGAATATCCGGCTATAATAGTAAGTAGTTTAGAAGGTGCCTGGCCGGATATCATGATAGCATGATCAGGGTAGCATGAAACGTAGAGAAAAGTGGTTTCTAGGGAAAAAGTCAAGGGGGCGGGGGGGGGGGGGGGGTCAGGCCATGATTACGTAATATTGCTGTCAGGAGGGGGGGGGGGGGGTTGGGTCTTGATTACGGTTGATTACAGAAGGGGGGGGGGGGGGGTAAAAATTGCTAAAATATTGATTACGTAATATGTGAACGACCTCTTATCAACACATACCAAGGTTTACAAGAAGAACGGAGTATTCGACCCTCGGAAGCTGTTCGGAGTAACCACGTTGGACATAGTGCGAGCTAACACATTCATCTCGGAGCTGAAGGGAACTCCAGTAACCCAGACCCAGTGCCCTGTCATTGGGGGTCACGCAGGTACGTGCTAACCCAGACCCAGTGCCCTGTCATAGGGGGTCACGCAGGTACGTGCTAACCCAGACCCAGTGCCCTGTCATAGGGGGTCACGCAGGTACGTGCTAACCCAGACCCAGTGCCCTGTCATAGGGGGTCACGCAGGTACGTGCTAACCCAGACCCAGTGCCCTGTCATAGGGGGTCACGCAGGTACGTGCTAACCCAGACCCAGTGCCCTGTCATTGGGGGTCACGCAGGTACGTGCCACGAGGTTAGGGTTAGGTGTAAAGGGAACTCCAGTAACCCAGACCCAGTGCCCTGTCATTGGGGGTCACGCAGGTACGTGCTAACCCAGACCCAGTGCCCTGTCATAGGGGGTCACGCAGGTACGTGCTAACCCAGACCCAGTGCCCTGTCATTGGGGGTCACGAAGGTACGTGCTAACCCAGACCCAGTGCCCTGTCATAGGGGGTCACGCAGGTACGTGCTAACCCAGACCCAGTGCCCCTGTCATTGGGGGTCACGCAGGTACGTGCTAACCCAGACCCAGTGCCCTGTCATTGGGGGTCACGCAGGTACGTGCTAACCCAGACTCAGTGCCCTGTCATTGGGGGTCACGCAGGTACGTGCTAACCCAGACCCAGTGCCCTGTCATTGGGGGTCACGCAGGTACGTGCTAACCCAGACCCAGTGCCCTGTCATTGGGGGTCACGAAGGTACGTGCTAACCCAGACCCAGTGCCCTGTCATAGGGGGTCACGCAGGTACGTGCTAACCCAGACCCAGTGCCCTGTCATTGGGGGTCACGCAGGTACGTGCTAACCCAGACCCAGTGCCCTGTCATTGGGGGTCACGCAGGTACGTGCTAACCCAGACCCAGTGCCCTGTCATTGGGGGTCACGCAGGTACGTGCTAACCCAGACCCAGTGCCCTGTCATTGGGGGTCACGCAGGTACGTGCTAACCCAGACTCAGTGCCCTGTCATTGGGGGTCACGCAGGTACGTGCTAACCCAGACCCAGTGCCCTGTCATTGGGGGTCACGCAGGTACGTGCTAACCCAGACCCAGTGCCCCTGTCATTGGGGGTCACGAAGGTACGTGCTAACCCAGACCCAGTGCCCTGTCATAGGGGGTCACGCAGGTACGTGCTAACCCAGACCCAGTGCCCTGTCATTGGGGGTCACGCAGGTACGTGCTAACCCAGACCCAGTGCCCTGTCATTGGGGGTCACGCAGGTACGTGCCACGAGGTTAGGGTTAGGTGTAAAGGGAACTCCAGTAACCCAGACCCAGTGCCCTGTCATTGGGGGTCACGCAGGTACGTGCTAACCCAGACCCAGTACGCTGTCATTGGGGGTCACGCAGGTACGTGCTAACCCAGACCCAGTGCCCTGTCATTGGGGGTCACGCAGGTACGTGCTAACCCAGACCCAGTGCCCTGTCATTGGGGGTCACGCAGGTACGTGCCACGAGGTTAGGGTTAGGTGTGACGTCATAGGGGGTCACGCAGGTACGTGCCACCAGGTTAGGGTTAGGTGTGACACATGATCTGTTTCATTCGCTGATGATTCATAGCTAATATCTGCGTAATCTGATAATTGTATGTGCAGAAAATGTTTAGGTCGTGAAGCACGTTGGTTATTGTAAGATGATATGTTATATCGGGTTAGGTGCCACAAAACCCTGTCGTTAGTAATTCGGTACACTCTCAATGGTTTCAGGAGTCACAATCCTACCCCTCCTCTCCCAAGTGGAGCCGAGCTGCGAGTTCACAGACGAGGAACGAGCAGCCCTCACGGTTAGGATTCAGAATGCAGGAACTGAGGTTGTGGACGCTAAAGCAGGAGGTAGGAAACTTGTGGGCCAGGTCCCCAGACCGGTCTGGACTCATTAAATCTCGCAACTATTACACGTCCCCCCCCCCCCCCCCCCCCTCAACTATTACACGCCCCCCCCCCCCCCCAAATATTACACGTCCCCCCCAACTATTACACGTCCCCCCAACTAGTCCCCCCTCCCAACTATTACACGTCCACCCCCCCCCCCCCCAACTATTACACGTCCCCCCCCCCCCCCCCAACTATTACACGTCCCCCCCCCCCCAAATATTACACGTCCCCCCCAACTATTACACGTCCCCCCAACTAGTCCCCCCCCTCCCAACTATTACACGTCCCCCCCCCCAACTATTACACGTCCCCCCCCTCGCACCTATTACACGTACCCCCCCCCCCCCCCAACTATTACACGTCCCCCCCTAACTATTACACGTCCCCCCCCCCAACTATTACACGTCCCCCCCCCCCAACTATTACACGCCCCCCCCCCCCCCCCCCAACTATTACACGTCTCCCCTCCCAACTATTACACGTCCCCCCTCCCCCTCCCCAACTATTACACGTCCCCCCTCGGCCTCCCCCTCCCCAACTATTACACGTCCCCCCTCCCCCTCCCGCGCGAGTAAACCACATTTTGTTAAGCGACGTATCCTCTCAGGAGGCTCAGCTACTTTGAGTATGGCGTACGCTGGAGCCCGATTCGCGTTTGCTCTACTGCAGGCCATGAACGGTGCTAAGAATGTCGTGGAATGCAGCTACGTAAGTAACCATTTTAATCAAGCCAACGATAACACAACTCAGTCTTCTCTAATGTCATATTCGACTGAATATTTTAAATTCTCATTCTCAAAAATTATTTTTGAGTATTTTTGAGAAAAGTTTCCAGGAGATCGAGAGGCGGAAACTCATTCTCATGATTTTGAGTATTTTTGGACCACATTGCACTGATATGAAGAATGATTTGGTATATCATTATTTTTGAGTAGACAATTTTTAAGAAAATGAGAGATCCATGCTGAATTTCTCAGATTCAAACATAATTTTTTAGTGGACAATTTTTGAGAAAATGAGAAATCCATGCTGAATTTCTCAGATTCAAAAATAATTTTTGAGACATATTTGAGTATTCTCGGCGAAAATGGTCAAATTCTCAGATTCAAAAATTCTCAAAAATACTCATGACCCCCCCCCCCCCCCCCCCCCCTAAATTACTCGAGTTCATGATAATATAAATATACCACATCGCAGGTTGAATCAGACGTAACAGATCTGCAATTCTTCTCGAACCCCCTTCTTTTGGGACCCCACGGAATCGAAGCGAACCTCGGAATGGGAACCCTGATCGACTTCGAACAGGAATGTCTCGAGAAACTGAAGCCGGAGCTGTCAGGTAGCATCGCTAAAGGAGTCGCATTCGCCAACCAATAAACAAACTACCATTAATTAATTAGTGATTCGTGATCTTCATTATAAGTATGGGACCCGATTACTAGTGTGATACTGGTGTGATACTGGTGTGTTACTGGTAGTTACTGGGAGTTGATTGCACACCCCTTGACCTCTCTATTGAGAGAAAGTTACACTTAATTGTTATTGTTTAATTTATTAAACTTGCATCTAGCTTCAAATATTCGATTTTACAACACTAAGATCACCCTTCAGTCTTCGCTGGTTTTAGCCAAGTGACCGGAAGCTCTTATTTTGGTGTGGATTAGGATAAATGATTTGTTTTGCCGTGAAAGTTTTGTACACATGTTTAGATCAATACTTCTTACACAGATGTAATAGCAAAGCGTATATTTTCTTTCTTCAGTTGAAGGTGGCGTGATTTCAAAACTGATTTTAATCATCTCAAAATCGTAAAGGTCAAATAAAGACATTCAAATAAAACTGTTTTTAACGATGTAATTTACGAGTCTCACATTAGAATCCTCCGGCCTGAACCCAGCTGAATAACTTGTCCAATAGCTCACTTAAGAATGTGATCATACCTAAAATAGTCTCATATAATAAGGGGTGGGACTGGAAACCTCCTCTGAAGCCTCAGTTTCCGTAGTCAGAGGTCCGGTGGTGACGAGCTCGGGAGTTGTGCTCGCTGGATCAGTCACTGGATCAGTCACCAGGTCATCAAGCAGGTCGTTAATTTCAACAGGTAAAATAGGGACCAGCTCTCCGGTACCATAGAACGTGGCCTCGTTTTCAAATACCTCCACATAGTAGTCTTCGTGAGCTTCCCCGTGTGGGTTTGTCGCTCTGCATCTGTACCTGTGGATAATAGTATATTAGGATGAGAAATATACTGCAGATTAGAGTATATGTATACATGGGGGTGTGTGCTGTTAAAATCTTTTTATCTTATAAACGAAGAGGGTGGCAGGTCAAAAGTGTGACTATGTAACCTAAAATTGTTATTTATTTTGTTTGGTTATGTCTCGTAGAATCTGTAGCCTAGCCTGTTTATGACAAACTTCTTAATTTTATCGCCCCATTCAGGAACTTTAAGTAGAATGAGTTTATAATTTTAACAGTTTACAGCGATTATTAAGAACGGTCTCCAGGCCGCTGTAAAAACTTCTTCCTTAATATAATATAACGCTCGAGACAACATTGAAGTTATGGCGAAGTTGGAAATATGATTAGGAAAGTTTGTCCCACTTTTCCAGTCTATTGTGTTCTTTAACACGATTTCTAAAGCACGCATGGAATTTAGAAATTGGAGCAAATCCAAATGTTTCTTAAACGCTGTCACCTTTACAGACACTTTGAAACTTTTGACACCCCTCTAATATAAAGTGCCAAGTTGTTACCTCCTAATAGAGTTGTTCTAATTGTCCTGAATGTGTTAGATGATAAGATATGCTAGATAGTAGATATGTATGAACTGCCATTCCACGGAACTGTCTATATTTTCCGCACGGTTGCTCTTTAATCAATTATCACGGCTAGGCGACCCATTACCATCTTAGTCTTACGTACTTAGGTCTTAGCCGTCTTTCAGTTTTACCCAATGTAAATCAGGAGAAAAAAGAAGTTTCTCTAGATTAGTGTTTAGCTGATTGTAACCAGAAGGAATCGATGATAGGGTGTTATAGTAACCAGGAACTAGTTACTGGGTGTCATAGTAACCAGGAACTAGTTACTGGGTGTCATAGTAACCAGGAACTAGTTACTGGGTGTCATAGTAACCAGGAACTAGTTACTGGGTGTCATAGTAACCAGGAACTAGTTACTGGGTGTCATAGTAACCAGGAACTAGGGAATTAACTATTTAATCTTCTTTCATATGATGCATTTTATTTTAGCTACACGCGATATTTAGTACAATGACTTCATGTCATTCTACTAAAATTGGCTTAATGCTTGATAGACATGTTCGATTTCATCTGCTTGCATAATGTGCATATTGCATATTATTATGTTGTCCTTTAAAAGTTTAAAGCACATATTACTATCTCGCTGCACAACACTGGAGCTGGGTAGCTACACATTCACTGTATTTAAGGTGTTATGTCAGCGACTCAACAGAATACCAGACAAGATTTTGGTTCCCAATTTGTTGAGACGCCACTCCCCCTGTAGTGTGCTGTATTACTTAGTGTGACTACACTTACTTGTAGTTTTAGAGGATATTATATACGTTGACTAGACAAGGTTTGGTGGTTACAAGTGGAACTTGTAACATTAACAATAGGCTTCATTCTCCTGGAAACAGAAGAATGTTCATTTTAACATGTTTGTGGCATAATAGCTGCTTTATGATTTTTCTACACCAAAAGTCAATTATGAGGTGGATTTGTAACCAAAATTGGTGAATTTAAAATTCTCCATAATTCACTTCCTTAGGTTTAGTCTTATCGACAACATAAAGAAGAAGACATGGTAATTTGATTTTCTGATAGCTTTTCATTGTCACGACGCACGAGGATTAGATAAATCCCGATCACCAGTCTCCGTGTATACTTTCGGTATAATGGTCTGTATCTTTTAATAATCATGCCGTATAATCCTCATGCGGGTCAAACACTATGAGTTCTCAAAAGGGACTGCCTCCAGTTTGGATTTTGGTTCAACTTAGTTTTTAAAAGTACACTAAATAGCATTAACTCGTCGTTCATATATTACGTAATCAGTTCTAAATGATTATTGATTATGCTGGTGTAACTGTAATAACACAATAGCTATGCTGATCACGGAGGGGTGAGGGGTGAGGGGTGAGGGGTGAGGGGTGAGGGGTTATTACACCGCAGGATTATTAAAAGATACTGACCATTATATCACGTTTACACGAAGTCTATCCAGAGCTTCAGTCTAGAAACTGTAGTGTAGTATGTAGTGTAGTATAGTACCGTACCTGATTTATTGCTATTGGCTACTAGTTGAGTACTAGTACTACTGGCATAAGTTAAAGTAACTTTAAGTACACAGTCACTAACTATTAATAATAGTAAACATAGTAGTATGTAGATTGTAGAAGTATGTAGTATGTAGTATGTAGTATGTAGTATTTAGTGTAGTATGTAGTATGTAGATTGTAGAAGTATGTAGTATGTAGTATGTAGTGTAGTATGTAGTATGTAGATTGTAGAAGTATGTAGTATGTAGTATTTAGTGTAGTATGTAGTATGTAGTATGTAGTGTGTAGTGTAGTATGTAGTATGTAGTACTAGTATTTAGTGTAGTATGTAGTATGTAGTATGCAGTTTGTAGTATGTAGTATTTAGTGTAGTATGTAGTATGTAGTATGTAGTATGTAGTATGTAGTATGTAGTATGTAGTTTGTAGTATGTAGTATGTAGTATTTAGTGTAGTATGTAGTGTAGTATGTAATATGTAGTGTAGTATGTAGTATGTAGTATGTAGTATGTAGTATGTAGTATGTAGTATGTAGTATGTAGTGTATTATTCAGTATGTAGTATGTAGTATGTAGTATGTAGTATGTAGTATGTAGTATGTAGTATGTAGTGTATTATTTAGTATGTAGTATGTAGTTTGTAGTTTGTAGTATGTAGTATGTAGTATTTAGTGTAGTATGTAGTGTAGTATTTAGTGTAGTATGTAATATGTAGTACGTAGTGTAGTATGTAGTATGTAGTATGTAGTATGTAGTATGTAGTATGTAGTATGTAGTGTATTATTTAGTATGTAGTATGTAGTATGTAGTATGTAGTATGTAGTATGTAGTATGTAGTATGTAGTATGTAGTATGTAGTTACAAATAAAATTAAAATTTTATATAACAGTTAAAAAATCAATAAAACCCACCAGCCACTATCCTCGACACTAGCTAGTTGAGTTAGGGTTACTTCTATCAAGGTGTCTTCAGCATTGTTACTGGTGATATCAAAATCCTGCGGCGGATGAGGAATTTAAAAAATCGTGCTAATTAGAAGAGTTATAACTGTCATGTAAAATGTAAATCGGAAATAGGATTTCATCTCATTCAATGAATCGAGTGTTAATCTATATCTTAATTTTGATTTTCCCGAAGTGATAAACTTTGTTAAGGAATTGCATGATTAATGCAGTGTAGCGGTGAAAAAGGTAGATCAAATTATTACAAACCAATTCAATGTCGTCTTCGTTGTCCACGCTGTTAAATGAATCCTCGCTGAGTTTTATTATCTTGGCAGTGGGAGGGGGGTAGGCTCTGACTATGCAGGACAGAATCATCGTGTCTCCTGAGAAAGAGGGGATCATGGTGTGTCTCCTGAGAAAGAGGGGATCATAGTGCCATCCCCGATCATGGTGCCACCCCCGACAAGATGAGGTAAATATAATTGTGACAAAATGCTTGAACAGGAATTTGCAGTACTAAGGGGCTATCTGCTTACGACGTCCGGCAAATAGGGAGGGGTGGTTTTGGAATTTTGGAAAAATCCGGACAGGGGGAGGGGGGGGGTTGGTTTCAGTAAATCCGGACGTCCGGAAATGTTGGCAGAATTAACGAAAAAGTCCCATTTATTTCAACTCTTTGAATTCTATTTCAACTCTATGAATTTTATTAATAATGAATTTGAGTTGATTTTATTTGTACTCTTAAAAGTAGCTGGATATCCGGACGTCCGGGGGAGGAGGGGGGGGGAGGGGTGGTTTTAAAAATTCGGACACACCCGGACAGGGGGAGGGGGTGGTCTGAAAATCTGCGATTTTGGCGGACGTTCAGTTTCCCATGATGTTGCTTTGAAGTTTAGTTAAAAGTCTTAGATATTAGAATGTAATTGTATACCCATCATTGTGGCAATATTGTACTGTTCATGATACATTCAACACTACAATTATATAACAAATAATTTGAGGAAGCGATGTAACAGAACCAATATTTAATGTCCCCACCCCCTCCCCCAAGTCCCCATTCATCGCAGCTCTCTAGTTTTACTGCATCTTAATGTTATTCAGTACGAACTACAAGTCGTTCGGCTGTCAATTCAATAAAATTAATTAAATTCAAATTTTATATCAGGTAACTTGTGCTGGTTACTCTAATATGATGCGAACTCTCATTGAATCATGAGCAAGACACATTTAAAGACAGGTCAACTAGAGGTTAAATACTGAAATTATTTCAGCCTAATTTGATCTTCTAATGTACCATTCACCACAATCCGTTACCTAGTGTCACTAGACAGGTACTAGTAGTGCCTACCTAGTGGCACTAGGCAGGTACTAGTATTGTAACACTGGTAACTAGTAGTGCCTACCTAGTGGCACTAGGCAGGTACTAGTATTGTAACCCTGGTAACTAGTAGCGCCTACCTAGTGGCACTAGGCAGGTACTAGTATTGTAACCCTGGTAACTAGTAGCGCCTACCTAGTGGCACTAGGCAGGTACTAGTATTGTAACACTGGTAACTAGTAGTGCCTACCTAGTGGCACTAGGCAGGTACTAGTATTGTAACCCTGGTAACTAGTAGCGCCTACCTAGTGGCACTAGGCAGGTACTAGTATTGTAACCCTGGTAACTAGTAGTCCCTACCTAGTGGCACTAGGCAGGTACTAGTATTGTAACCCTGGTAACTAGTAGTGCCTACCTAGTGGCACTAGGCAGGTACTAGTATTGTAACCCTGGTAACTAGTAGTCCCTACCTAGTGGCACTAGGCAGGTACTAGTATTGTAACCCTGGTAACTAGTAGTGCCTACCTAGTGGCACTAGGCAGGTACTAGTATTGTAACCCTGGTAACTAGTAGTCCCTACCTAGTGGCACTAGGCAGGTACTAGTATTGTAACCCTGGTAACTAGTAGTGCCTACCTAGTGGCACTAGGCAGGTACTAGTATTGTAACCCTGGTAACTAGTAGTGCCTACCTAGTGGCACTAGGCAGGTACTAGTATTGTAACCCTGGTAACTAGTAGTGCCTACCTAGTGGCACTAGGCAGGTACTAGTATTGTTACCCTGGTAACTAGTAGTGCCTACCTAGTGGCACTAGGCAGGTACTAGTATTGTTACCCTGGTAACTAGTAGTGCCTACCTAGTGGCACTAGGCAGGTACTAGTATTGTAACCCTGGTAACTAGTAGTGCCTACCTAGTGGCACTAGGCAGGTACTAGTATTGTAACCCTGGTAACTAGTAGTCCCTACCTAGTGGCACTAGGCAGGTACTAGTATTGTAACCTTGGTAACTAGTAGTGCCTACCTCTGACATGTGTCACGTGCTCAACACATGTTACTCATCAGGAAAGCATTTTAACCCTGTGATCATTCTATGTAAATGATGAAGTATTGTAACCATGGTAACTAGTGTAAATGATAAAGTATTGTAACCATGGTAACTAGTGTAAATGATAAAGTATTGTAACCATGGTAACTAGTGTAAATGATAAAGTATTGTAACCATGGTAACTAGTGTAAATGATAAAGTATTGTAACCATGGTAACTAGTGTAAATGATAAAGTATTGTAACCATGGTAACTAGTGTAAATGATAAAGTGATTAAGCACACTCGTAGAATCAGGCAGATATTATCTCGACTCGAGCACTACTGTCAAAACAAGCCGGGCTACAGTATCTACCAGTGCGCCTACTGGACGCCTCTACTTGTGTCGTAAGTCGGAGTTAACCCGATCAAAAGTTGGTTTAAGTTGTTTAGTAAACTATTTAGGGCACATACACTTCATTCCATAGTCTGATTGGCCTGATTCATTAACTATTGATATTGGATAACTATTGATATTGGATTTTGTTTGTTTGTTTGTTTGTTTTCAAGAGCTACTTGCCACTTAAGTCCAGCTCATTATATAACATTATATAATGTAGGACTTCTAGGCAGAGTGCTTGGTTGTGGGACACACTCGACTTTAAGAATAGTGAGAAACCACAAATCTCACTAGTGAGATATCAACAGAGTGTGAACCACTGCCTTGATATTGGATAACCCTGAACTTGAATTTACGGTGGATCAAATATGTGGGACATTAATTGAACAGATCCTTGCAATTTCAATGCAACCGGTGATAAAGAGAAACTAGATCCTGGTTAATCGACAGATCCCCCTGTAGTCTGTACAACAGAGGTCTCATTTTAATTGTGCAGGCACCTTCTTAGCCGGTAAACCATCAAACTGAGGTTAAACTTACAGTATCTTTCCATTTTATTGATAAAACTGGGATAATAATCTCACGTAAGTTTAAATCTATCATCTGGTGAATACCATGCTGTACTGTGAACAGATTAAGATACAGTCTATATCTAATCCTTATCTGTACCACGTGTCTTGGTACCAACACTCCACTCCTGTACCAACCCCTCTCCAGAATCCCTTGCAGTCTGTATCTCCACCGATACCGACCACACAAACACTGGTACACTGGCACTCGGACAGATTAGTAATTGACAGGTTTCCCCCACCCTAATTGCTATTATCAGATATAAATACTTCCTGATCTCATTTTCATTTATTTGTTTTATTTATCCGAATCTAGTTAAAAACTAAATCAATCGAAAGCTCACCCGAAATGAGGGAGACGGTGCCAGGTCCAGCTTCGACAATTACCGGAACCAAATCAAGCGGAATGTCAGCGGAGGAAATCCCCATCCACAAAATCACAAATACCAAAGGAAGCATGCCAAATATCACACTGTTTAAATGTAGATCAGTAGGAAGTTTTATCACGAATGAGAGGACACGCGAAACGACTAGCGACAGCGGAGAAATGAGAGCATTGGCTGGTGAGCTCACGCTATGGGGATATGTTAACACTGTAATAACGCAGCGCATTCTCCCAACTTGTTTATTTCTATTGTGAGTTTCACAGGGCACAGCAAATCGTTATTCGATTTTCAATGACCGAAGCAGTGCATATCACCATTCACCCTATAACTTCCTGTAAGCTTACTTTCGGAACTGTGTTTCCGGACATGGGACTAAGCAGAAAATGTGGTCACGTAAATCGGCCGGACAGGTCACGTGGTGTCTCGATCATCGGCTTGAGGCGGCGAGCTATTAGTATAAATTAGATGATCTCAGATCAAGATAACAGTGTCGTGGTTTAAATTGGCCTGGCTCAACCCACTAGTTTGTTGTACTTTATAATATTAATAAAGTGATAATTAAAAGTTAAGGGTGACAAGTGGCCTTTAATTCAATAATAAGGTCGCAAAGTTATTTTTATTAGTATTACTGTTAGTGTTAGTGAACTCGGGCGTTTCATCGTTGGAGTTTATTTGACCAATCAAATCCATTCTAACCGTGCACATTGTACGATGTAGACTACATTCGAAATTGGATGATCATGAGTTTCTGAAAATTTCTGTACTACATACTGCTAAAATAAAATTATATTAAGTGTTCCAAATATCTCAAGTTACATTATAATGCAGGTCCAAAGTTTCTGTATTATTAGGAATCCCGCCATTTCATTTTCAACGAGCGTCCTAAATCACTCATTTCATTTTCAACGAGCGTCCTAAATCACTCATTTCATTTTCAACGAGCGTCCTAAATCACTCATTTCATGATTCAAGGACCAACCAAACAATTTCCCCTTCATCAATAGCAAATAGAGCTGCTATAATTTCCGAAATAATTTTGTCAGATTAATGTCTGAAAAGCCCCTTTTAATAATACACTATTCAATACGTGCACCAGTAGCAGGGAGGCTGTACTACATGTTGAGTTCAGCTGTCAATATTTAAAATTAACGGGTGACAACTATACAAGTGGCATTTAATTCAATAATAAGCTCAAAGTTATTGCTATTTATAAATAATGTGCGGTTCATTGTGAGAGGACCCTATTCAATACACAATGTGTATTGGCATACAATTTTGGCCCGTAATACTAATATTGAAGCAACTCGCTGGATTTTTCAGTAATGGGCTACGAAAAATTAAATTAAATCAATATTTATTTAGACTTAGAGTTAGACCATGTAGTGACGTAGTCCCAGACTAATGGACCAACTTCGGCGGATTTTTATCATTTGTCATTGTTTTGCTACTAGTACTACAACTAGATGCCTTTAAAATTAAATCTTTTAGTTTTATCATCGAATATTACAGTTACACATTACACAATGACAAAAGTAATCGACGAAGTTTCCCACAGTGGACAGTGAGGTTTGAGCTTGGCGCTTATTACACTGACTACAGTGAGGTTTGAGTGGATATAAATAAAAATGATGATTATGCCCGGTGTGCGGTGGACTAATCATGAGCAGAGGGGCTTCTTGCGAAGATTAAAGCATTCCATTTCCAAAGGCATATGTGTCTGTGAATGTGATATGGCGTACATGAAATGCAATAATATTATTCTAGTATTCAGTATTGAAACACGCACTCATCAAGCAGAGAGAGAGGAATGTTTTAGAAGATATGTAAACAAGTGCTTGAAGTACTGACCTAACTTTTAAAAGCAAAGCTGCAATTCAAACACGTGCTGATTCTTCGTGTTGAAGGTAAAATAACAAAACTTGTTGGGAGAAGAACTACATAACTAGGTGCACTATTTAGTTCAGTGTTAAATGTATGACACTACAAGTACATAAGGGTCGTTCACATATTAATAATAAGTACATGGTTGATGGTATAGTACGCGCGGGCAAGTCCTGTATACGTATATAACAAGTATAGCCTATATACTAGGCGTAGTACAGTATATTACAGTATTACTGTATAAATATTAATACTGTACTTGATAGTGATACTGTTTGGCTTACTGGGCGGCGCTCAGCCTGAACATAATAGCCTGGGGTCCTCAGGTAATCTTTGGCAGATGCTGCCGGACGGCCGGACCATCAGATCACCCATCAAAGTGGAAATGAGCTTGCCCAATAAATATATTTGATTAAAGTGGTACAGAAATATTACAGTTTAGTGAATAGTGATTGTCCTTTTAAACGCTTGCCCCGGAAACCTGACTCCCAGAACCTCAATTGTGTCTATTGTGCCATCCACAGTTGACAGTGAACGCACTAGTGTACAATAATGTTGTCAAAACAATTAAATTTCAGTCCAGGGAAGCTCGTCTTTTAAAATGGAATAATCCCGAAAAGTCATTTTAGGGAGAACGCAGAACCTCTCTAAAATAAACAACCATTCTGAACAAATATTATCAATTTCTGAAACCAACAAATTGAGTTTTATACAAGTATGGACAATTTAAGTGTGGAGGGATTCTTGAAACATGTAAGTAGGTATTGCACCCCCTAATGTTGTGATACAATAGTTTTATAGTATTTATAGTAACAGAAGCTTTAAAAAACATATGTTAATTGTCTTCCGCTTTCAGTGAACATTTTAAAGTTAAACTCCAAGTCCCTAACTCCACGTATGATGGTCCTGTCTGTGGATGACATCTTTCCACTTCCTTGCAAAGATCTCTTCACCACACTCCGACCAGCTCACAACCAGTCTCTCCTCCAGAGAATAAGAGTCAGCATCCCCCGACAAGACCTGGTGTGTCCTGATCCTGACCCCTACCTCCTTCTCACATGTGTCGCTAAACTCCAGGGAGTGAAACACCACCACGTGCTCCTGGTGGATCTTAGCTACAGCTTCAGTCACCTCAGTGTCACACTCGTAACTCTCGTGGGATTTCTCGAAGTGTTTCAGGTTTATGGTGTGAGGCAGGGACTTCACCCCGGAATCCCCCCTGAACACAAACTTCACTCTGTCCCCAATGTTGGTAACTAGATAAGAGTTAGTGCCCGGAGTAGTGGAGCGGTACGGCATGCTCAAAAGGGGTCTCGGAACTGGAAATGTAACAGTGTTGTTACTCAGATAATCCAAACTCTCTGTCTGGTAGAGAAACATGCAGGCACTAGGTTTTATGTAGAGATGAGAGGGGACAAGAGAAGGCCACAGAAGTGGGAAGTTGTTTGGGGAGATGGAGAGGCAGAGCTTGTGACCAGGCAGGAAGCAATGTGATGTGAATCTCATGGGAAGTGAGAATGTCCTGCTATCTTCTTCACATTCGAGGGGTTGCAGATAGTTGAGATCAAACTGACATCTTGTGACTAAAGTGGCAAATCCGTCTGGGTGGATGTCACACACTTTAACGGAGAGGTAAACCCTTTTCCAACAAGAAGCAGACAGTTTTACTACAAAGTTTGGTGCTCCAATCATAACCAGAGATGTTTCTAATGGATCAGAAGAGAATGAGACCGACTTATCAATTGATGCGGTCTGGTCTCTTAGGGAGAACGCAGAACCTCTCTAAAATAAACAACCATTCTGAACAAATATTATCAATTTCTGAAACCAACAAATTGAGTTTTATACAAGTATGGACAATTTAAGTGTGGAGGGATTCTTGAAACATGTAAGTAGGTATTGCACCCCCTAATGTTGTGATACAATAGTTTGTAGTATTTATAGTAACAGAAGCTTTAAAAAACATATGTTAATTGTCTTCCGCTTTCAGTGAACATTTTAAAGTTAAACTCTGCAAGTCTCTAACTCCACGTATGATGGTCCTGTCTGTGGATGACATCTTTCCACTTCCTTGCAAAGATCTCTTCACCACACTCCGACCAGCTCACAACGAGTCTCTCCTCCAGAGAATAAGAGTCAGCATCCCCCGACAAGACCTGGTGTGTCCTGATCCTGACCCCTACCTCCTTCTCACATGTGTCGCTAAACTCCAGGGAGTGAAACACCACCACGTGCTCCTGGTGGATCTTAGCTACAGCTTCAGTCACCTCAGTGTCACACTCGTAACTCTCGTGGGATTTCTCGAAGTGTTTCAGGTTTATGGTGTGAGGCAGGGACTCCAGCCCGGAATCCCCCCTGAACACAAACTTCACTCTGTCCCCAATGTTGGTAACTAGATAAGAGTTAGTGCCCGGAGTAGTGGAGCGGTACGGCATGCTCAAAAGGGGTCTCGGAACTGGAAATGTAACAGTGTTGTTACTCAGATAATCCAAACTCTCTGTCTGGTAGAGAAACATGCAGGCACTAGGATTTATGTAGAGATCAGAAGGAACAAGAGAGGGCCACAGAAGTGGGAAGTTGTTTGGGGAGATAGAGAGGCAGATCTTGTGACCTGGCAGGAAGCAATGTGATGTGAATCTCATAGGAAGTGAGAATGTCCTGCTATCTTCTTCACATTCGAGGGGTTGCAGATAGTTGAGATCAAACTGACATCTTGTGACTAGAGTGGCAAATCCGTCTGGGTGGATGTCACATACTTTAACGGAGAGGTAAACCCTCTTCCAACAAGAAGCAGACAGTTTTACTACAAAGTTTGGTGCTCCAATCATAACCAGAGATGTTTCTAATGGATCAGAAGAGAATGATACCGACTTATCAATTGATGCGGTCTGGTCCCCAGAGAATCCCCAGTCGATCCGTAACCAGTGACCACTGTTAACACCTTGGAGAGGATGGTTCAACAGTTGAATTGGTTCACAACACGGTTCACTTGGTGGCTTATATGTTGTTATTTTGTTGATATTGTCAGTGGTAGTTGTGATGAAAAGGACCTCTACCATTTTATCATTGCTTGCAACGTGGGACTCGCCGGGAAGAAAACTTGTTAGAGTGAGATGCTTGCAAGTATCCGCTACCTTTGCCCCCCTCTCCTCCCAGTCGTCAAAAGCCACAAACCTGCCAACATCTCCAATTTCCCCGTCTTCGGAACACAATATGTCTGCTGGTTTAAAACTGTTTCGTACAAAGAGTTGCAGCCGTGGCCAAGAAGAACACTTATTTTCCTGCTCAATATGAACATCTTTGAGGTGATAACTAAACCAGTTGAGACACAAATCAAGAAACTCTATGCGTGGTCCCGTAGCTGACACGTCAGGCCAGTTGTGGACCCAGGGGCCGATAATTACTTTAGAGGAGCTGCTAAGCTTCCTTGCCATCCGCTCAATGGCCGTGGTATATCCATCCTCCAGGCCTCCAATAGCGAGGATAGGGATAGTGACCTTCTTGTAGTCCTCATCAATTGATCCTTGTTCCCAGAACTGTCCGGGTAGCTGGTTATTGGTCCAGGAAGACATTGGTGATTTAGAGCATTTCTCCAGCCTTTTTAACCACGTCTGGTACCATTCCAGTTTCGTGTTGAAAAGTCGAGGAGGGGGAGGAAGAGCGTTTATAGCAAACATAAAGCTGGACCAGGAAAGCAGCCCTGATCCGATAGGACAACCTCCCTCTTAATGTATATCATCAGTATAACGGTTATCAGTGGAGTACAGTGATATAGCTGTCTTCAACGGGCTACTCTCCGGCTCTAGGTACGCCATCTGAAGTCCGTTAAATCCACCCCAACTCTTACCATACATCCCCACCTTACTGTTACTCCAGGACTGGTGCCTGATGAACTGTAGCACTTCTGAACAGTCTCTCATCTCCTGAGGTAGATACTCTCCGTAGTAGCACCCTTCTGAAGCTCCAGTCCCCCTCATCTCCACTCTCATTACCACGAAGCCGTGGGAAGAAAACCAGGGGTGTCTGTTGTAGTCCCGAGCTGCTGTCAGTATATCCTTGTAGTAGGGCAGGTATTCCAGGATAACCGGGAACCTCTCCTCCTTATCGACTGTTTCTTTGTCATCGACAACAACAATGTCATCTTCAACTGTTTCTTCACCTCCTCCAAATGTAATCCTTACATCAGTGGAGTTAGAGTTAAAAGTGTTGAACTGCTCCGAGAATGAGTTGGAGGGACCGTGTCTGATGTCGGGGACCCAGACGCGGCATGACAGTGCCACACCATCCTTTAGAGGAATTGTGTAGTCACTCAGTTCGGTGACGTGATACTTTCCCAGACCGTACTTTTCTCTTTTTGACACCATCCTATAGTTTATTAGTTAGACAGGGTAAACGTTAGAGAACTGTGTTAATTAGTATTTAAACATATTCTTTTATACGACCTTGTTCCGGTTACAAGTTCGGATTAGACGCTCAACAAATGATATATTTGGGACTTCAAGTAGTGGATAGAGCAATGCACACAAAAAACCAACAATGCACAAAAAAAAACTCGGTCGAGAAGAACTCTATCATAAAAAAGAATTGAAGTGTGGAAATAACATGAAGGTAAAATCAAAGCAGTAGCATGTGCAGACTGCAGACACCATGACGGTATATTGCGAGAGCTAAGAGTAAGATCGTGAGAACATGGGCTACTTCGGGGACAAATAAAATTATAATTCCTAAAAATTTTCACTTCCTACTCCTAGTACGATGTTGAAGGACTTCGCCCCTTCGACGCGCCGCGCAAACTCTTGCTTCGCAGAGCAACGATCTGGAAGGGTTGACATCGTCAATCAACCTACGATGTAGTAAACAAATTATGCCCTGGATGACAAAATATAGCAATTAGAACTGTTGTCTAAACTCTTAATGACGTATTATTTCAAGAATATGGGATTTGAGACCATCCACTACCACCGTCCAAATACAATTAACCTACTAATTATGGATCTACCCAGCCTAGAAACCTGAAACCGTAATCGCGATCGAAATCATCCAATTAATTCCACACATTTCTGATAACCTTGCAAAACAGCGATTACCGGGGTGACATGACCGGTAATTTGGTAGAGACGAAAACTTTTCTAAAACCAAGATTTACTAATAACACCAGTTGAAGTGACCTGAAGTTCTTTGACCGATGTAGCAGTTATAATTTCCCCCATATCCACATAATTAAAAATGTCCTCCCAAACCCATTTTCAGACCCTTCTGTGGCCCGCTCGCTTCGCTCGCAGCGGCTAAGTTACTTTCCCAACAGGGGCGTGCGCAGGATTTTTAAAAGGGGCTCCGAGGCTACTGCGGCAGGGGCTCGGGGGCGCAGCCCCCGGAAAATTTTAACTGGATTATATGCTAAACCAATAGGAATAGGATGTCAATACAGAAGGTTCAAAACAGTTGATTAGACACTTGGTTATTAGTAATATTTTAAGGGGTGCAGTCTCCGGAAAATTTTTAACTGCATTATATGCTAAACCAATAGGATATCAATACAGAAGGTTCAAAACAGTTGATTAGACACTTGGTTATTAGTAATATTTTAAGGGGGCAGGGGGCGCAGCATCCGGAAAATTTTTAACTGGATTATATGATAGACCAATAGGATATCAATAGAGAAGGTTCAAAGTAGTTGATTAGACACTCGGTAATATTTTGGATTCAAAACATTGGACAAATTAAAATTAAAGATGGCACGAATTTTAAGTCATTTAAAGAGGAAAAATTTCCTCTCGATACCCAATGATTGAACTGCTCTTTGCGGACTGCAATTGTCAGTCGCTAACCAAGAAATTTCCTCTCAGATGCCAAAAATTTCCTCATTCTTCCCAAATTTCCTCCCAGATATCTGTTGGGTTTGCCAACTTTGTGGATATGGGTAATTTCCGGGTATCGAGTTTTACAGTGTTCTCACAGTCAAATGTTAAATGAGTCCACTTGTTTTTATTTAATATTTTAATTGAGAAAGGAATGTGGGCTTAGCTTTTCTCAGCAATTAAAACTACAACAATTAAAACTACACATGTAATAAACTTAAAGTCAGCAAACCTATAATATCAATAAATACGGATAGATAATAGATATACTTGTTACCCTTTTGTTGTACATAATATTAATATTGTAATAACTTAAATGTAATAAATTTCCACATTTTAGATATATAAAACGATAACAGAACACTTTTAATTCAAAACTTAAAAAAGATATCAAAACAATAACACAATATTTCGTAAGAACAGTAACATTCACAATCACTAAACTAACTTTAGCTATCTGTATTCTAATATGATGGGGGATAATTTCAAGACCAAAAACAAAGAAAACGTATCAATAATTGTACAATTTCCTATAAATATAATATTTAATTATTTTTCAGTAAAAACGTAGTAAAATATTCTAAATGATAAACTAATATAGTCGATTTTTCCTCATGTTAGTAAAACCTATTTTTGGTTGGGGTTGAAAAGCTTAGGAAGATTTTGCCAGCATTTCCAATAGTCATCATCTACTTTCTCACACGTCTTCAGTGCCCAGGTTGTTGACTTCAAACTCAGCGATGACTCGAACATGAAGGACTGGGGAGGGAAGGTGTGAGGGGGTGAAAAGTTGGTCACGTGAGTTAAACGCAAGCCAGGCCCCCAATTAACTAGCCGCAAAGCAATATTGGAGATTGCTTATTCATTCAACCATATTCAGCAAACGATTTAAGTAACTTGTTAGCAGCATATTATGGTTGAATGAATAAGCAATCTCCAATATTGCTTTGCAGCAGTAACTCTACTATTTTTATTGATATTGGAGGCCTGACTTGCTTTATTATTTTGGTTTTTATGAAAAATAAAATCTCTAACGGTGAGCGACAAGCCGTCTAAAAATATTTTAGTCTTCAAATTTCTCGTATTAAGCCGAAGGTTGGAGTTTTTGGATATGCTTAACAAGGCAGTTAATTGTTAACGAGGCAATATTTTTAAGTGGAGCTTGAAGCCCCACTTTTAACGTATTAACATTGTGACAACTAGTTAAATGCACTAGAGTCTAGTGGCACTAGACAGTGCATTTAACTAAAACTGTTTTGTGACAGGGATATCTATTAATATTACCGAAATTTAGTGAGTTAGGCAGTGAAGCAATTTCAAACTTCTAGTTTGAGGGTTTGATGTTTTTTGACGGGGGGGGGGGGGGGGGGGGGGGGGGGGGGGGGTACACTACACTCTGTATTTTAAAATACAGCTTGACCGGGGGGGGGGGGGGGGGTACACTTCACTCTGTATTTTAAAATACAGCTTGACGGGGGGGGGGGGGGGTACACTTCACTCTGTATTTTAAAATACAGCTTGACGGGGGGGGGGGGGGGGGGTACACTTCACTCTGTATTTTAAAATACAGCTTGACGGGGGGGGGGGGGGGGGGGGGGGTACACTTCACTCTGTATTTTAAAATACAGCTTGACGGGGGGGGGGTACACTTCACTCTGTATTTTAAAATACAGCTTGACGGGGGGGGGGGGGGGGTACACTTCACTCTGTATTTTAAAATACAGCTTGACGGGGGGGGGGGGGGGTACACTTCACTCTGTATTTTAAAATACAGCTTGACGGGGGGGGGGGGGGGTACACTTCACTCTGTATTTTAAAATACAGCTTGACGGGGGGGGGGGGGGTACACTTCACTCTGTATTTTAAAATACAGCTTGACGGGGGGGGGGGGGGTACACTTCACTCTGTATTTTAAAATACAGCTTGACGGGGGGGGGGGGGGTACACTTCACTCTGTATTTTAAAATACAGCTTGACGGGGGGGGGGGGGGGGGTACACTTCACTCTGTATTTTAAAATACAGCTTGACGGGGGGGGGGGGGGGGGGGGGGGTACACTTCACTCTGTATTTTAAAATACAGCTTGACGGGGGGGGGGTACACTTCACTCTGTATTTTAAAATACAGCTTGACGGGGGGGGGGGGGGGGGTACACTTCACTCTGTATTTTAAAATACAGCTTGACGGGGGGGGGGGGGGTACACTTCACTCTGTATTTTAAAATACAGCTTGACGGGGGGGGGGGGGGGTACACTTCACTCTGTATTTTAAAATACAGCTTGACGGGGGGGGGGGGGGGGGTACACTTCACTCTGTATTTTAAAATACAGCTTGACGGGGGGGGGGGGGTACACTTCACTCTGTATTTTAAAATACAGCTTGACGGGGGGGGGGGGGGGGGGGTACACTTCACTCTGTATTTTAAAATACAGCTTGACGGGGGGGGGTACACTTCACTCTGTATTTTAAAATACAGCTTGACGGGGGGGGGGGGGGGGGGGGGGGTACACTTCACTCTGTATTTCAAAATACAGCTTGACGGGGGGGGGGGGGGTACACTTCACTCTGTATTTTAAAATACAGCTTGACGGGGGGGGGGGGGGGGGGGGTACACTTCACTCTGTATTTTAAAATACAGCTTGACGGTTGTTACTTGGCCGTGTTGTGAGGGCTATAACAGTAATATCATTTGACGGGTGAGCACTTTACTACTACTAGTACTACACTTTACGGTATATACAGACCCATTATCTTTGAGCAATTAGCAAATTAGAAGCTGCAACCGGACCCTCACTTCACATACCCGCGCTCTCAGCTCTCACTACAGCTAATTAGTTTTGCGTTACAATTGAGCGGTACCTGGGTATTATCAGCGACCCGGACTGGGTTGAGTGCAGCATTGCTGGCCCCAGTGAAGCAGTTAGCGTCGGGACCGTGTGGGGTCATGATGCTGTGCAGGGAACCTCCTCCCGGCTGGAACTCTCCTTCTTTAGCCTCGTAGTTACCGTATATCAGACCCATAAACTCGCTCATACAGTTTCCTAGGGTGTTATTGGATTATATTTTACAGAAGCAAGGCAGTGGCGTAACGTTGCCTGTTGGCGCCCCCGCCGAAATAGCGCCCCCTCCCCTTTTGGTGCGCCTCCCTAAAACTGAAAAAAACTAGGTGATTTTAGAGGATACCCCGGTAAAATCTCTAAAAAAAGTGTGTATCTAGAGAAAAACGCGCAGTTTTGCTAGTACTTTAGATAAGTTTTCGAAATTGTCCCACATTAAAACGACGATTTGGCGCCCCCCACCCCCACCCCCCCCCCCCCCCCCAAGTTTTGACGCTGTGTTTTATGTGGCCCGCAAAAAATGATATGTTGATATTAACAAATCAGGACTGCTATATATACATATATAACTATAGGACTGCTCTATTACTAAATAATAAAACTTACTGTCCTGTAGTGTTATTGAAGAAGTTCTCTTGAAAGAATATACTCACTGTGGTAGTATGGAGGTCTGAAAGTGTGATCCTGCACAGCCCACCGAGGGGGGAATATTACAAAGTCACAGAGAGCAGTTCCTTCCAGCTGACCCGGACACGTCAGCACCGTGAAGATAGAGGGATCCTGCAAGGAGATTATCACGAAACTGGGGGGGGGGGGGGGGGGGGGACTACTTTAAGTGAAATATTAATGGGAGTAGTCTGGCATGAGCTTCAAGTTAAGGAATTACAGCTCTGTCATACTCAAACGGACTATCTTCCGTAGTGACGGCTCGCGGCCATCGCTGTAAGCCTAAAGTTGCAGGTAGTAGTCGCTGTAACCCTAAAGTTGCATGTAGTAGTCGCTGTAACCCTAAAGTTGCAGGTAGTCGCTGTAACCCTAAAGTTGCAGGTAGTCGCTGTAACCCTAAAGTTGCAGGTAGTCGCTGTAACCCTAAAGTTGCAGGTAGTCGCTGTAACCCTAAAGTTGCAGGTAGTCGCTGTAACCCTAAAGTTGCAGGTAGTCGCTGTAACCCTAAAATTGCAGGTAGTCGCTGTAACCCTAAAGTTGCAGGTAGTACAGACAACCACTAGACACTAACCGCGTGGTCGAATGCAGTTGCGTTGATAACCATAAAGTTCTTCAGGTTGTACTTGTAGGGAGCGTAGTTGCCATGCCAAGCCACCACATCAAACGGGGAATGGTCCTGGAATAGAACATGTCATGTGGGAACAAGCCACCACATCAAACGGGGAATGGTCCTGGAATAGAACATGTCATGTGGGAACAAGCCACCACATCAAACGGGGAATGGTCCTGGAATAGAACATGTCATGTGGGAACAAGCCACCACATCAAACGGGGAATGGTCCTGGAATAGAACATGTCATGTGGGAACAAGCCACCACATCAAACGGGGAATGGTCCTGGAATAGAACATGTCATGTGGGAACAAGCCACCACATCAAACGGGGAATGGTCCTGGAATAGAACATGTCATGTGGGAACAAGCCACCACATCAAACGGGGAATGGTCCTGGAATAGCACATGTCATGTGGGAACAAGCCACCACATCAAACGGGGAATGGTCCTGGAATAGAACATGTCATGTGGGAACAAGCCACCACATCAAACGGGGAATGGTCCTGGAATAGAACATGTCATGTGGGAACAAGCCACCACATCAAACGGGGAATGGTCCTGGAATAGAACATGTCATGTGGGAACAAGCCACCACATCAAACGGGGAATGGTCCTGGAATAGCACATGTCATGTGGGAACAAGCCACCACATTAAACGGGGAATGGTCCTGGAATAGAACATGTCATGTGGGAACAAGCCACCACATCAAACGGGGAATGGTCCTGGAATAGAACATGTCATGTGGGAACAAGCCACCACATCAAACGGGGAATGGTCCTGGAATAGAACATGTCATGTGGGAACAAGCCACCACATCAAACGGGGAATGGTCCTGGAATAGAACATGTCATGTGGGAACAAGCCACCACATCAAACGGGGAATGGTCCTGGAATAGAACATGTCATGTGGGAACAAGCCACCACATCAAACGGGGAATGGTCCTGGAATAGAACATGTCATGTGGGAACAAGCCACCACATCAAACGGGGAATGGTCCTGGAATAGAACATGTCATGTGGGAACAAGCCACCACATCAAACGGGGAATGGTCCTGGAATAGAACATGTCATGTGGGAACAAGCCACCACATCAAACGGGGAATGGTCCTGGAATAGAACATGTCATGTGGGAACAAGCCACCACATCAAACGGGGAATGGTCCTGGAATAGAACATGTCATGTGGGAACAAGCCACCACATCAAACGGGGAATGGTCCTGGAATAGAACATGTCATGTGGGAACAAGCCACCACATCAAACGGGGAATGGTCCTGGAATAGAACATGTCATGTGGGAACAAGCCACCACATCAAACGGGGAATGGTCCTGGAATAGAACATGTCATGTGGGAACAAGCCACCACATCAAACGGGGAATGGTCCTGGAATAGAACATGTCATGTGGGAACAAGCCACCACATCAAACGGGGAATGGTCCTGGAATAGAACATGTCATGTGGGAACAAGCCACCACATCAAACGGGGAATGGTCCTGGAATAGAACATGTCATGTGGGAACAAGCCACCACATCAAACGGGGAATGGTCCTGGAATAGAACATGTCATGTGGGAACAAGCCACCACATCAAACGGGGAATGGTCCTGGAATAGAACATGTCATGTGGGAACAAGCCACCACATCAAACGGGGAATGGTCCTGGAATAGAACATGTCATGTGGGAACAAGCCACCACATCAAACGGGGAATGGTCCTGGAATAGAACATGTCATGTGGGAACAAGCCACCACATCAAACGGGGAATGGTCCTGGAATAGAACATGTCATGTGGGAACAAGCCACCACATCAAACGGGGAATGGTCCTGGAATAGAACATGTCATGTGGGAACAAGCCACCACATCAAACGGGGAATGGTCCTGGAATAGAACATGTCATGTGGGAACAAGCCACCACATCAAACGGGGAATGGTCCTGGAATAGAACATGTCATGTGGGAACAAGCCACCACATCAAACGGGGAATGGTCCTGGAATAGAACATGTCATGTGGGAACAAGCCACCACATCAAACGGGGAATGGTCCTGGAATAGAACATGTCATGTGGGAACAAGCCACCACATCAAACGGGGAATGGTCCTGGAATAGAACATGTCATGTGGGAACAAGCCACCACATCAAACGGGGAATGGTCCTGGAATAGAACATGTCATGTGGGAACAAGCCACCACATCAAACGGGGAATGGTCCTGGAATAGAACATGTCATGTGGGAACAAGCCACCACATCAAACGGGGAATGGTCCTGGAATAGAACATGTCATGTGGGAACAAGCCACCACATCAAACGGGGAATGGTCCTGGAATAGAACATGTCATGTGGGAACAAGCCACCACATCAAACGGGGAATGGTCCTGGAATAGAACATGTCATGTGGGAACAAGCCACCACATCAAACGGGGAATGGTCCTGGAATAGAACATGTCATGTGGGAACAAGCCACCACATCAAACGGGGAATGGTCCTGGAATAGAACATGTCATGTGGGAACAAGCCACCACATCAAACGGGGAATGGTCCTGGAATAGAACATGTCATGTGGGAACAAGCCACCACATCAAACGGGGAATGGTCCTGGAATAGAACATGTCATGTGGGAACAAGCCACCACATCAAACGGGGAATGGTCCTGGAATAGAACATGTCATGTGGGAACAAGCCACCACATCAAACGGGGAATGGTCCTGGAATAGAACATGTCATGTGGGAACAAGCCACCACATCAAACGGGGAATGGTCCTGGAATAGAACATGTCATGTGGGAACAAGCCACCACATCAAACGGGGAATGGTCCTGGAATAGAACATGTCATGTGGGAACAAGCCACCACATCAAACGGGGAATGGTCCTGGAATAGAACATGTCATGTGGGAACAAGCCACCACATCAAACGGGGAATGGTCCTGGAATAGAACATGTCATGTGGGAACAAGCCACCACATCAAACGGGGAATGGTCCTGGAATAGAACATGTCATGTGGGAACAAGCCACCACATCAAACGGGGAATGGTCCTGGAATAGAACATGTCATGTGGGAACAAGCCACCACATCAAACGGGGAATGGTCCTGGAATAGAACATGTCATGTGGGAACAAGCCACCACATCAAACGGGGAATGGTCCTGGAATAGAACATGTCATGTGGGAACAAGCCACCACATCAAACGGGGAATGGTCCTGGAATAGAACATGTCATGTGGGAACAAGCCACCACATCAAACGGGGAATGGTCCTGGAATAGAACATGTCATGTGGGAACAAGCCACCACATCAAACGGGGAGTGGTCCTGGAATAGAACATGTCATGTGGGAACAAGCCACCACGTCAAACGGGGAATGGTCCTGGAATAGAACATGTCATGTGGGAACAAGCCACCACATCAAACGGGGAATGGTCCTGGAATAGAACATGTCATGTGGGAACAAGCCACCACATCAAACGGGGAATGGTCCTGGAATAGAACATGTCATGTGGGAACAAGCCACCACATCAAACGGGGAATGGTCCTGGAATAGAACATGTCATGTGGGAACAAGCCACCACATCAAACGGGGAATGGTCCTGGAATAGAACATGTCATGTGGGAACTGGAAGGTTCAAGAAGTTTGGGGAAAATACGGGAAAATATTTGACAAAGTTTGACAATGACAACACTGACTTATACTTATATAGGGATTTTTGAAATACCAGTGCAGTATTCTGTCCACCCTGTCAAACAGCTGCGGATTTAAACTGTTGAACACATCATTGGAGCATTCTGATTGGGACATTCTGATTGGGGCATTCTGATTGGGGCATTTTGAATTGTGTCGTGACGGTGTTGTGTTTAAGAGAAAAGTATCAACCTGGGTTAGCTTCGCTAGAGTATTATTGTGCATGTAACCCCACTATATTTGCAGCATGATCGGGGATTAGACCGGATGTTATATTGGGATTATTTGTGCAGATCATTTCTATCAGTTCAACGGCAATCAGACTATAATTTGTTTGGGATCAGATACAATAAGTATCCAGTAAGGGGGGGGGGGGGGGGGGGGGGGGGGTACTCTGGGGTATCCAGTAAGGGGGGGGGGTACTCTGGGGTATCCAGTAAGTTACACCTTAAGTTATACCATTTAGGCTTGTGAAGGATCTCTAGGAGGGCCTTGTTGGTGGTTTATCATATTATGTTTAATGTGTTTTAGTGTGTAATATTTGATTTTATTGAAACACGGGTACTAACTCTGCTAAACTGAAAAAAAAATTCTGAAACTTAGGTGAATAAGTGTACAACGTGCTAAACCGAAGTTCAGACTGACCAGTGAAAATGGGCGAGCGTACCAAGTGTCATTTTAATTAGAAGTTTTAGTCAGTGATTTATTATTGAAGCTTGTAATTACAATAACTAATGCTTTTATAAATACTTTAATTAATTGTTTGTTCCGTTATTCTTTTTCCTTCCTCTTTTCCTTGTCATCCCCTTTAGTTTTAAGATTCTTGCTATAAATGGCTACAGCTAACACTATTAATGCTAAGTACCAAACAACAAGTGGGAGGTGGATCGTTGGTATACCATTAAATCGATTTAACACCGCAATTCCAGTCGCAAGCCTGGGACCACTACTAGCATAGTCACAACATCTACAAAGCTGCCATATAGCCTGACTGACAATTTTCTCGACTGACTGACAATGTTTCTTCTTTTCCCCATTTAGAATACAAAGATTAGTACATTTTAGCTTATGATTAATATTCTATTTTTACCTATAGTTTACCTAGATATATCAATGAATCTTTCTATGATTCCTATATGATGTAATAAAGTTTTGTTGCCTTACTTTTTAGAACGGCTCTGACACTTGTGTCATAATCCATATGGATTATGGGCGGTATAAAAGCACATTATTTCATTTCCATTTCATCTTTCTTTTTGTAATTTCCGAACTTGTTCTTTAATCTTTATTTGTCGAAATCATTCATTTCAAAATTCTATTTCATCACATCTTCATATTTATAACAATTACAAATTAACAATACTGCACTCATCATATTATCGGCCATCACGTGACATTGGTCTCGATATTAAGTTTTTTAATCAGCGATCTTCCTAAAAGATATCTGCATGCTTCTATACATGCACCACACCCAAGGTACAAGTTACCCATTACATTTTATATTTGCAACCATCTTCTTTACTCTAGCGGGTGTAACACGATGTAAGTGAAGTGAGGTTGAACTGATCGAGTAGACTATAGATCGGCCACGAGAGGCTGAACTTTAATTTAGAGTTTAAATTTCCAGATTTTAGAGTATTTCTATTCAACTCAAATTGTAATTTCGAGCTTCCCTTCTTCGTAGGGAGCTGTGCTTACCCCACCAGTAAGTGGAATATAAAAGTTAAACTGTTTTTGCGCATTTGTTGGTGAAGCGTTTTGTCTCATTTATGAAGCCTATAAATATTTCCTGTCGCACTGAGGTAAATTGAGAATCCTCCTAGTTGAACAGATCACTTTAGGCACCAACCCCCCAACAACCATTAAATTATTAATCGTCTTCTCTTCCATGAGACAGTCCCCACTGTGAAGGGATGCATTAGTACCTAGCGTGCCAGATGATTTTGTGGTGTTATAAAATTGTCACAACCCCTCGCAACAATCGTGTCATACGAAATAAATCAGGTACAATATTGAGTTGCTCCATTAAAGTAATAAGTATACAGGCAAGTGTAGTATACAGGTATACTACACTATACCTGTACCTCCAATAAGTATACAGTTATACCTGTACCTCCAATAAGTATACAGTTATACCTGTACCTCCAATAAGTATACAGGTATACCTGTACCTCCAATAAGTATACAGGTATACCTGTACCTCCAATAAGTATACAGTTATACCTGTACCTCCAATATGTATACAGTTATACCTGTACCTCCAATAAGTATACAGTTATACCTGTACCTCCAATAAGTATACAGTTATACCTGTACCTCCAATAAGTATACAGTTATACCTGTACCTCCAATAAGTATACAGTTATACCTGTACCTCCAATATGTATACAGGTATACCTGTACCTCCAATAAGTATACAGGTATACCTGTACCTCCAATAAGTATACAGTTATACCTGTACCTCCAATAAGTATACAGTTATACCTGTACCTCCAATAAGTATACAGGTATACCTGTACCTCCAATAAGTATACAGGTATACCTGTACCTCCAATAAGTATACAGGTATACCTGTACCTCCAATAAGTATACCTGTTTGGCAGAGAATAGTTTTCCCTGGAACTTGGCAACAACAACGTGTTCCGTTTCCACATCCTCGTAGTGACTGACTGGAGTTAGGAAGTCACGTGGATTCGCCAAACCATTAGCTCCTGGAACGTTTTATTTCTTGGTTTCTTTTTAGAAAAGAATATTTTTAGAAAAGAAATGTTTTATAAGGTGTACAATAACTTATGTTATGAGTTAAGACTTACTGAATATATTACTTACTGAATATATAAGGAAACGGCTTAACTATAAAGATGAATTGTTTGATATTTAACACATGATTCAATAGGCTGAATGATCAAAAATGGGCGAAAACTTACCAATAGGACCAAGGTTAGGCAGAATGAAGTGATTTCCCCAAACCTCCAACATGTAGCCCCTACTTACCAATAGGACCAAGGTTAGGCAGGATGAAGTGATTTCCCCAAACCTCCAACATGTAGCCCCTACTTACCAATAGGACCAAGGTTAGGCAGGATGAAGTGATTTCCCCAAACCTCCAACATGTAGCCCCTACTTACCAATAGGACCAAGGTTAGGCAGGATGAAGTGATTTCCCCAAACCTCCAACATGTAGCCCCTACTTACCAATAGGACCAAGGTTAGGCAGAATGAAGTGATTTCCCTAAACCTCCAACATGTAGCCCCTACTTACCAATAGGACCAAGGTTAGGCAGGATGAAGTGATTTCCCCAAACCTCCAACATGTAGCCCCTACTAGCTCCAGTAACATCAACTTTAAAGCGGATTCCTTGCTGCAAACAATTGTGTTATTGAAGAGTTGAGCTAAGGTGTTGGGGGCGGTGTTCGGGGGGGAGGGGGGGTGTTTGCAGTGCAGTGTGAGGGTGTTTGCAGTTCAGTGTGAGGGTGTTTGCAGTGCAGTGTGGGGGTGTTTGCAGTTCAGTGTGAGGGTGTTTGCAGTGCAGTGTGAGGGTGTTTGCAGTGCAGTGTGAGGGTGTTTGCAGTGCAGTGTGAGGGTGTTTGCAGTGCAGTGTGAGGGTGTTTGCAGTGCAGTGTGAGGGTGTTTGCAGTGCAGTTTAACTATCTGCAGTGAGGGGAGATCTTTTACTGTAAGCTTATTTTCTAAATTACCCCTAAATTGGCAAAACAAAATCTTGCTGGATTTATCATTTCACATTGCTAGATTTCAATCCTGCAAGAAAATTTCCAGGAATATTTCCGAGAGGATACAATATATATGCATCCCTTTTTCGAACCACACTTATTTCGCAAGAGCTACTGCCCTAATATGGACTTAAAATCGCATTATTCGAATCGCTCATGAAACAGTGATCTCTATTGCTTCTTTTAAAAAACTGTTTGCCATTAATATACATCTGCCAACACAATTTTGACATGATGCAGCTTTCGGCCATCCTGCCATAAACTTTAAAGTTTTATTTTTTTTACAGGCATGGTTCACACCCGGAGTCCAAGACCCCCTCAAACGTTCGGTCACGGGCCACAGTTTGTTGGTCAACTGCTATCTCGAAATCAAGATGAAAGATTCAGCTAAGCCCTGTTCTTTCCCTCTATATTGTAAATTGTGCATTTGTACTAGGCGGCGCTCTGCCTGTCATTGCCCTATATTCACTCATTAGTGTTCATGAAGACTAAGACTGGGGTCCCCAGGTAAGCGAATTTCACTTCCAATACCGCGTATCTTTCACTTCCATACAACGTATCATAGTAAGGTAGTGTTACCATAGTAACGCATCATTTATTGTCTAGTCACCATTGATATGAGCAATTTGGTTGAATTTGATCAGCAAGAGTGCAATTGGTTCAACAAAAATGTGGTTGATCATTTTGTGCCCTAATGAGATTGCTTTCAGAGGATATCGTCAGTGATTGGTCATTTCATCTGTCAGAATATAAGATAAAGGAAGTCTACTCTCTACTCTACTACGACTATGATTGAATGATGACATAACACGGCGTTTCATATCAATATATATCATACAATCAAAGTAGAGTAGATGTCCTTTTTGTGATATCCTGCCTGATGAAATATAATGGAAAAGATGATATATCCTCTGCAAGCAATCCTCTCATCCTCTGAAAGCAATCTCATCAAGGCGAAAATTGTTCAAATATTCAAAATATCTATCTAGCACTTGTAAGGAAGTGCTAGATGGATATAATACCTGAATGACGCATATCTCGTTAGGTGACACTTCCATCTTGCCCATCTCTGTGGTAATGAACAGTGTTCCCAATTGCGGTACTATCAGGAGGTCACCATCCGCGTTGTAGAACGCTCTGAAACGGATCAATTGTAAGTGTGACGTCACACCACGTGTCGTGACGTCACACCACGTGCCGTGACGTCACACCACGTGCCGTGACGTCACACCACGTGCCGTGACGTCACACCACGTGCCGTGACGTCACACCACGTGCCGTGACGTCACACGTGGTGTTCCCAATTGCGGTACTATCAAGAGGTCACCATCCGCGTTGTAGAACGCTCTGAAACGGATCAATTGTAAGTGTGACGTCACACCACGTGTCGTGACGTCACACCACGTGCCGTGACGTCACACCACGTGCCGTGACGTCACACCACGTGCCGTGACGTCACACCACGTGCCGTGACGTCACACCACGTGCCGTGACGTCACACCACGTGCCGTGACGTCACACCACGTGCCGTGACGTCACACCACGTGCCGTGACGTCACACGTGGTGTTCCCAATTGCGGTACTATCAAGAGGTCACCATCCGCGTTGTAGAACGCTCTGAAACGGATCAATTGTAAGTGTGACGTCACACCACGTGTCGTGACGTCACACCACGTGCCGTGACGTCACACCACGTGCCGTGACGTCACACCACGTGCCGTGACGTCACACCACGTGCCGTGACGTCACACCACGTGCCGTGACGTCACACGTGGTGTTCCCAATTGCGGTACTATCAGGAGGTCGCCATCCGCGTTATAGAACGCTCTGAAACGGATCAACTGTAAGGGATCGGTTACTTTTTATGACGTGAACCTTTTGGGTATTTTCTACCCTCTGTTTGCAATTAAAGTTTAAGGTGTCGAAACCCCCCTGACTATTCGGTTAGGTACCCTAACCATCGTGCTAAAATAGTTTAAAATTGTCTCTCACAGGGTAATCTTTTAGTATGATGTAATACAACTGTAATACAACTGTAATACAACTGTAATACAACTGTAATACAACTGTAATACAACTGTAATACAACTGTAATACAACTGTAATACAACTGTAAAACAACTGTAATACAACTGTAATACAACTGTAATACAACTGTAAAACAACTGTAATACAACTGTAATACAACTGTAATACAACTGTAAAACAACTGTAATACAACTGTAATACAACTGTAATACAACTGTAATACAACTGTAATACAACTGTAATACTACTGTAATACAACTGTAATACAACTGTAATACAACTGTAATACAACTGTAATACAACTGTAATACAACTGTAATACAACTGTAATACAACTGTAATACAACTGTAATACAACTGTAATACAACTGTAAAACAACTGTAATACAACTGTAATACAACTGTAATACAACTGTAAAACAACTGTAATACAACTGTAATACAACTGTAATACAACTGTAATACAACTGTAATACAACTGTAATACAACTGTAATACAACTGTAATACAACTGTAAAACAACTGTAATACAACTGTAATACAACTGTAATACAACTGTAATACAACTGTAATACAACTGTAATACAACTGTAATACAACTGTAATACAACTGTAATACAACTGTAATACAACTGTAATACAACTGTAATACAACTGTAATACAACTGTAATACAACTTTAAAACAACTGTAATACAACTGTAATACAACTGTAATACAACTGTGATACAACTGTAATACAACTGTAATACAACTGTAATACAACTGTAATACAACTGTAATACAACTGTAATACAACTGTAATACAACTGTAATACAACTGTTATACAACTGTAATACAACTGTAATACAACTGTAATACAACTGTAATACAACTGTAATACAACTGTAATACAACTGTAATACAACTGTAAAACAACTGTAATACAACTGTAATACAACTGTAATACAACTGTAATACAACTGTAATACAACTGTAATACAACTGTAATACAACTGTAATACAACTGTAATACAACTGAGATTCGTAGCAACTTCCAAGGATGCGCATAGGCATGAAGACAGTTTATAGATCAAACGAGAGTACAATTTTAGTGTCATACTTGGAGAGTGGTCGGATGGGGCATTAGTTTACAAATAATTCGCCACTTCCAAGTTTCTGTAGTATCATGATCAAACTTTGTCGAGATTAGGGAGACAATATCTCGATAATATTATCCACGATAATTCGGTCAAAATATTTATCGGTTTATCCCGATAATTTGGTACCGATAACCGTTAAAATTAACAATTTAAGTTCTTCTAATGAAAAATTGGGCTCGGTCAAAGTCTTTGACCGTAAGTTTGTCTAATGAGTCAGGTATTTAAGGTATTTTGTCTGATTTGTTACGCTCCCCTCTAACCCCCCCCCCCCCCCCCCAGCCCATTACAACATGACACATCTCCCCCTATTAGTTAGATCTCTACGATGGTTAGTTTTGACAGCCTTTCAGCGACGGAAATTTCAGTCGGTATACCGTGGATAGTGTTTACCGTGGATAGTGATCCATTTGTCGGTATGCTGTGTTTTATTGGAGCAGTTCTGCCGTCAAAGCCAATAGTATGTATAGTATGTATGGCCTTCTCCTTAAATATCTTCTTCGATATTTTGAGTTATATCAAATAATTGAAATAACTGATGACAACATTTTCCCGTGCACGTGACACAGAAAATTTTGCATTGTCTTTTGTTGGTTGTTGGTTGGCCTCTACCACAGAACGTGACATCCTCATAAATGTAATCTTCTGAGTTGAAATGTAAATTAACCCGCTATAATATTCCCGAGTAAGGTAAGTTGAAATGTAGATAACCAATAACCATGACAAGGTATGGTACATTAAGGTAAAATAGCTAGTCGTGAGCTGGTAATTTCGTAAAGCACCCTGAAGCGCCACGACCTTAAGTAGTTGAGACTTATAGAACGCGATCAAAGTTCTTTAAGGAAGGCATTCTTATAACGAGTTCTGTGTACTGCGCTGAAATGAATCTTCATTTTTATCTTATTTTTCTGATTCATTACAAAAATTTGTCTAACTTTTATTCAATATTCATTACACACTACACACTATAGACTATAGAGCCATGTTGACCGAAAACGTTACATGGACAACTCAAGTTCCGCTAGGAAAGGAAATGGATACTAAAACGGTGGAATTCCTTTTGTCCGGAAACCAGAAGTACCTAGTGGCACTACTGCTCATCATGGCAGTTATCATCATCACTGCTAACAGGTAACCCAGTCCCGCACAATATTCTGTATAATATTCCCTGTTCGAATACATCCAGTTGTATCTTGTGACTAATTTTTGCAGTTTTATAATATATAATATATTAAACAATTTGTAATAAAGCTCTTAAAAACTTCAAACATATCTTTATTGTTGGCTTACTCAGCCCAATCTCATGAGCACCATAACCATAATGAAACGCCACTATATTTATTTAACCATTTTAGTGTAGTTTTGCTGTTTTACAAGAATCAGCTAAAGAAAATGTGGCCGGCACTTTATGTCACAGTGGCTTCATGCGATCTTGTCGGTGGCATTTCTGGTAAATTTACAAAATTACTACTTTAATATCCTTTAATCCTTTTAATCTGTTGAAAGTAGTTTTAATAGTTTAAAGAGGGATATAAATCGTACAAATCTTTAAATCTTTTAAAATCTTTTAAAATCTTTTAAAATCAAATCAGCAAACGCACAACACCTTGTGTATTATAACTGATTCTAATTTATATGAAAATGTTTCAGCTCTACTCCACGGTGTACTGTTTCTGCTAACGATACAGACAATCAGCGGGGTTAGCTGCAGCCCACACTCCATCGCTCACTACCACCAACCAGCCTCACAACCAGCCCCACATCACCACTGCCTGCAACTCCAGGATCAGCTGCACAACCTTCAACTACTCATGTGCAGTCTCTTCATCCTGACTTCCCTCTTTAAGCACTGTTCTGTGCTCTACAGCATCACCCTGGCCATCCTCAGGACCATTAACATCTACTATCCCTTCTACAGGGCCAACAGGAGGGTTGTAGCGTGCAACCTGGCAGTTCTACCCCTCATCTACCTCGCAGTTACCATCTACGAGCTGTACTTCTACAGGGCGGAGAGCTACTTTGCTCTGTTCTCCTATCTGGTAATATTCCCAGCAGTGGGGGCCAGTGTAACCTGGAGTGTCAGTATGAGCCTGGAGGAGCACCATCTCAACCCTCTGCCTGAGTATAGTCACGTGATAGTGTCCCTGCTGGTACCCTTCGTTATCCCCAGCCTTGTCTCAATTGTGTGCTGTATCCTGCAAACCATGCGACTACTCAGGAAGAAGGAGATCAAGATGACTGGGAGCAAGATGAACCAATCCCAGCAGCGGAACATCACCCTCACTATTCTGCTGCTGACAATTACCTTCTTTGTGTGTAACACTGCCTTCTTCACCACAGCACTGACCCTCATACTAGGTGTGAACAATTGGGAGCGGAAGTTCGAGAAGATTGTCAGTTTGATGTACTTTACCAGCACTATCCTGCCTTTTATTAACTCTCTTGTAAACCCTCTTATTTTCCTGGCGCGTGGTGCGAGGTTGAGGCTCTATCTGTTTAGACATTATGTTTATGCTCGAACTTGTGTTTTTGGCAGCCTCTATACGTTGAGAAACACGATACGAACTACTATACAAACTATACCATAACTGTTCATATCGCGATAGTTTGTTTTAATATTTGAGAAAACACAACGTCGCATTTGAATTCCACATATATTTTGTGTTAAATAGTGATCAAGTAACTTTCGCCAATTGTCGCACATGATAACAGATAGAATGAACATGATGTTTAGTACATCAAATGATGGCCTTTAATATGCTAACTCTTTAAGTTTGTCTATGGTTAATAACTAGCTGATTGATGATTTAATTGCTTATTCAGTATGCAAAATATTTTGCATATACAAGCGGCTCGACAACTACAGCTACCGGTATTTATTTAAAAAGGAGCACTGTTTGATTTTGTGATATTACTTTCGCGAAAAAGTGTCTTTTGTTCTTTTAGGTTTAAATAACCTTTAACATACAC